ATCGATTTAACCCCAATTATCATTACAAATCTCTAATTAGTCACCACTTCGTGGGGGTACTTTAGGCTAATCGCCCTAATCTTATTTTGGCATCCAAAATAGACTCTATTGGCACATACATTGATTTGACGGAAGCCCAAATAACTAACTTATTACTTTTTTACCCCTTCCAAATAAATCCGAATATTCCTTGCCCCGCAAGTCCTCCGGTTCAAATAGGTAAATTGGTCATTTTGCAAAGTTACGAACGTTCTCCAATTGTCCTACTCAAATAAATTGATAAAATAAATCAACAAAATAATTTAAAAATTGCCATGTACACAACACAAGAAATGCAATAACCTTTGAATGTAATAACAGAGAGATACAAAATAAACAACTGTACTAATATTACTATGTACACACCAATGTCCAGACAATTTACTTGCAAGAAAAAACAGAGCTCCGAAAAGAATGGGCAGAAAACCACAATGGCAAAACCGAAGAATGCTTCACCGAATACATCTCCATCCAAACCCGACTCCTTCGTTGATACACAAGCACCTGCTTATGTGTCGCAAGAAACACACACTCGTTCGTCTGGCTTATCGGAAAGACACCTGGCACCATCCCTCTAATGCACCGCAGGCTCACCCTATCAACCATGCACCACTCCCCCACCCGATAATCACCCCCAACCATAACCCAAATACTCATCCACACATCCGATATCTCAACAACCGACAATCTCCCCTCACACTCCAACAAATAAATCCGAATATTCCTTGCCTCGCAAGTCACCTCACTAGGCAGCTCGATTTTCCCCCAAATCTCGGTACCCAAATCAAGAACCATAACCGAGGAGCAACTCGCGGTCAGCCAATGCAACGCACCGTTCACGAACACAGCTTGGTTCCGGTTCATATGGGTAAAATTGTCATTTTGCAAAGTCACAAACTTTCTCCACTTGTTCGAATCGGAATCGAACACCATACATGTAAAAGTCCTCCCTGGCCTATGCCCGAACGAGCGGTGGTACCCTGCCAATACAACGTTGTACGTCTGCGTATATATATCACAAGCTAATCCGACTAAAGTAGCTTCACCGTCGGGGTAGAATCGAGAAAAAGGCCGCTCTCGGGTTTTCGGGAGCAATCGATACTCTTTAGTCATCGGATTGCATACGTAATAAACACCTTTATCAGGTATGCTGGAGCAGCACAACAATCCATTACAAGAAGATCTGATTTTGACTCTATCGTTTACAAAATCCAAGGAAAATTCAGACACGCCCTTGGAATTATCGACAACAATCAAACTTGGTTTCGAATTTAGAGTGGGGTCGTTGATTTCTACAAGGACCATAGGGTTTCGAATGGAAACCTCGTTGTATCGATTTGTGAAGTATTTGTCGGAAATTAGGTTGTACCATGATTTGGAGACACATTTGGTTCTGAATAAGGATTTGATGGGCAATCGTGCCAGAATCTGGATTATGACTTCGTCGGGGAAGAACCCATCTTTTGAATCGAACGAATTCATCATGTAATAATAATAATTCACGGAATTGAGGGATTAAATAATCAAGAAATACTTACTAATTCAAATCCGAACAAGCGAAATTTCTTCATGAAATAAATCTTCTGTTCTTTCCCTTTTACTTTCGGATTAATTATCGCGTTTAATTGGGAATAAAAATGCCATCTTTTGTTGAGCTTGAGCATATAGTGTAAGAAATGGGCTTGGGCTTGGGCCCGATTAGAGAAGGCCCGAAATTTGGAGAGGGAAAAAATGTTTTCTCTCTCACAATTATTTAAACAATTAACTCTTTTTTGGTCAAAATCAACTTTTTTTAAACATTAAAAAAGTCATAATCACTTTGGAAAAGCGCAAACAACACATGAATGGAATAAACCAAACCACACAAGTGATTATAGATTAGCTTTACGGAACCTACGCAATATATATATAATATATATACTTGCTTCCCATACATACAACAAAAACACTCTCACCTCTACTTTTATTACATTCTTAATACTCGATTTCCACTACACTACTTTCAGCATTCCCTTCTTTCTTGTACTACCAACTTCGGCTCTTCCTGCATTTTCCAAAAGATCCTAAATTATAAAATAAAATAAAATATATAAAAAAAAAAAAGGATTAATGAAGTAGAGAATTTTTTTTCGTTAAAACATCGTACCCCGAAAGAGACAATCCATTTTCCATTGACCCATTCTTGATGTGGCCTCAAACTTCTATGCTCGAGTATAATTTCTTCATTTGTTGTCCAGAAATATACCGAGTATTTTAAATCATCGAGAACTTTGGAAATAAGGCCCACCCACCATCCCTCATTGTACCACGCATCAACTTTCTCGAGCATTTTGTAACGATCAACACGTGTGATTTCAGGGGGACAAGGCCTAATATACGAAGCAAATGCCTTCTCTCGTAGCAGTTCGGTTTCATCCTCTGTTTTCAGTGTCTTGTACTCAACCAAAAACATGTTATTACACAAGGAGCCGATTATTACAGCAGTGTACCATGAACCCTGGTAACCTTCTTCGTCACTTTTGACCTCCACAGTCATACCATTCCAGAAAGTTGGCTCCCATGCATTCCCACTATGTTTCCTCTTCAATTTTCCCTTTCTCGATTTCAAATTCTCATCAGCTAAATTTACCTGCAATTGATATTCCAACGAATTTACTTTTCATCTCAAAATTACTTCCATTATTTAGTTTCAAATGTAATCGAGAAGTCCTCAAGCATTTTGGTTATAAGCGTGCTTTTTTGTTTTTGCCCACATTTTGTTTTTGGCCTACACACATGTTTTCCTCATTAGGCCATTCACAATCGAGTATTCTAAAACGAGTCCTCCATATATTATTTTATTTTCGAGACTCGTCTAGAAACCAACTTTAATATCAAAGAGTGAAGTACTCTGTTGAATAGACTCGATCGTTATGATTTTTCCTAGAGTTTTCTTTTAAGTCGTCACAAAAATTTGGTAAAAATATTTAAGAAACATTAGTCCGCATTACGCCCCATTTTCAGCAAACTGAACTCCAAAATCGATAAAAATAACCATAATTAATTAAAGCAAGAAAAAAAAATATTGCATACCTTAGAGGCTGCAAGCCACTTATCATCAACCCAATCTTGATGAAGCCTCAACTTGCAATGTTCGAACACCATTTCTTCTTCCATGTTCGTAAAGCGAACCATGTATTTACAAGCATTGAAAACTTGGACAATGTAGCCTTCCCACCAACCATCGTTATACCAAGCATCGACCCTTTCGAGAAAGTCATAGGGTTTGACCTGTTGGATAACAGGGGGACAAGGTCTAATGCAAGAAACATCCACTTCTTCTTTGAGAAGTTCCGTCTTGTCCTCTGTTTTTAACGTCCGATACTCCACCAAGAACTTGCTATTATTTCCTAGGGTTTTACCAATAACTGCAGTAAACCAAGAACCTCGAAAACCTTCCTCGTCACTTTTGACCTCCACCAACATCCCTTCGTTGAATTTCGCCTCGGGTGCTTTTCTACTACACTTTATCTTGAGTACTAGACCCCTCGACTTCACTTGTGAATCTGATGACTTGTTCTGCAATTTCACATATTTCAAGATTATATATCCCCATTCGAAATTCAGAAACTACTTTTGTATAAAACGGAGAATGTTGTACGACTAAGGAATTCGATCTAAAAATATATCACGCGAGCCTCTTTCTTTTGCTTCTGTGAAGATTAAACCAGTATATACAGAAACTAAAAATCAAGAAATTAATTACAATCAGATCATTGCATCAGTCTAATATAAAATCTACGCGATAGCTTCAAATGAATTCGATTAAAGAAAGGCACGTTTTCAGTAATAAACAACACAAATATTGAACATAGAAAGAACAAACAACATAGAAAACACACACACACACACACAAATACACACACACACAAATACACACACACGCACACACCTGCTGCAATACTTGTTGAAGACGAAAAGGTGGGGCCCACGAACCGTCGATCCACTCCCTAACAGCTCTCAGCTCCCACTGTTCCATCTCCGCAAGAGAGCCCTCGTCAAACGACACCGTATACCTCGAACACTCCAGTATCTCCACAACTTTCCCTCTCCTCCAACCCATTCTCTCTCTACAAAAACCCTCCACCGATTCCCCTACTTTTAAGTACCTGTGAATCTCCGGCGGCTGAGCCGGCCTGATATCGCCGGGACTGACGTAATCCCTCCGCAGAGGCGACTCGGGATCCTCCGCACTCTCTCTTAAGGTATCGAATTGCACGAAGATTTTGGTGGTGGAGGAGCGGAGGAAGGTGGCGGTGTACCATATTACGCCGTCGTTTTGCATCCGGACCTCGATTTTGGCACCTTTGTTGAGTAATTCAGATGACATTTTCAGCTGCATGTACTAGAGCCTCAGTGTGCGGAAAGGATTTAAGAGAGAGAGTGAGCCCTAGAGAGAGAAAGTGAAGGTGGTGGCTATGGCGAGAGATAAAGGTGGTACAGTATTGAAATTGTACTATGCAATAATTAATTGTATTTCCGCATATTATTTAATTTTTAACATATCTTTTTAGCAAGTCTAATTAATCGAAGAGTAATTAACAATTAAAAACAATATATATGTTTATATCAATAGATCATTAATTAAATAATATATAGGTATTTTTTGCAAAGGGTTTTGAAAATTAATTATGATTTTCCTTTTCTTCTTATAATCAATTGTTTTCATATTTGCAACACTAGAAATTCTATTTATTAGGACAATTTATATATTTCACCAACAATTAGTTAAAAAATTAAAGTTTTTATTACAACTACAACTAGAAATTATATATTTAAATTTGATTTTTCATGTTATTTACATTAAAAATCAGTAAATATTTCAAGATTTACTTATAAAAAAGATTAAATTATTTTTGAAGAGTGAAATAAAATACAACTTGTTATAGGAGAATTATCTTGGAAAATATAATTATCCAAACAAAGATTACATGATCAACCTCAACTACATTTCCACAAACGGATTCCACCTCATTTCTCCGGCAGTCACCGCCGCCGCAGAACTGGTGGTGCCGCCTAAAAAAACCAACGGAAAAACTCTTAAGAAAAGACCTCATCGACGTGTCGAAAGAGGGTGATTCGACAAGTAAGCATGAATAAGAGCAAGAGCTTCATTAGGCTTGTTTAGAGGCACAAGATGACCTGCTCCTCTTATTGTCACTAATGTCAACCCTTGATACTCTACCACCCTCCCTGCCACCTGTAATTATGACATCATCATTACTTTAAGATATTTAATAAATATTTTTAATTTGTTTCAATTCATATAATGTGATTGAAAATTGAAATAAAATAAAACCTGATTATTGTAGAACCAAGAAGTCCATGGTTTCTTGATAGTCAATCCCATTGCTTCTACGCAGTATCGTGTTCCTATAACCGGTACTCTACCATCTGCATCTCCACTGTTACGCAAACGAAATATTAACGACAATTTTTTAGTATTAAAATTCGATGCAGAGGGCAAAATCGGAATTTTGAGGGCGTACCTATACATCCAAATCTTGAGGCCTCCTTTGATGAGTTTTTTGTATATAGGCAAGACGGAAAATACAGTGTAGTTGTACGTTCTAAACACCGAATCGCTACAATATAAAATTTCAGACAGTTTGTAAATAAATGATATGTAATAACACTATCGCAATATATAAATTTAGTCTTGTAATAGCGAAGCTCACTTGCAAACGGTCCATTTCACGCGATCACTCATCACATGTAGAGCTTTTTGAACTTCGATCTTGTTGAAATACGCTTCTGCGTATTTAGAGTAGCAGGGGTCGTAGCCCCCCGGGCCCACTTTCATTCTTCCCCACATTCGACTCGTTTGTGCCTAAATGTAAGAAATCAAACATAGAGCACTGTATTTTTTATAGTTTGATAGGGGTATTATGGTAATTTTATTATTGTTTAATAAAAATAATTACTATTTTCCATAAACAGCTTTGATTAAAGATAATGCTAAAAAAAATACTACCTTAGTATTTGAGAAGTCGTTTTTTTCGGTGGCAATATCATAGGTGAGCGACGAGGTAGTGTTGAGACGACACGAAGGGGCGTATATATTGTATATATCGATCTCCTTGTATCGATTAAATACTATAGTCATTGCATTTACGCAGGGTAAAGAGCATAAAACCCCCCTGTGTTTTGTAAAATCTGCACCAAATCCCCTCGTGTTTATTTTATTGCATAGAATCCCCCTATGTTTTGTTTTTTCTTGCACACACTCCCCTTCTGTTAAAATCTGTCAGCGCGTGTCTTTCACGCCAAAGATCCGAAAGTTGTCTTCCATTTTTCTACCACTTTCAACCTTAAATGACCGAAATAACCTTCAAATCTCTTGTATTAAATATACCTTCAAATTTTTTATTTATTTGCATAAAATCCCTCTTTTAGGGAAAAAAAAATATAAAAAGAGGCACATATTTTTTGCATATCAATAATTTCCAATTATATTTATTTCCAATTATTTGCATATCAATAAATTCATAATATTTTTATTTTAATTTTAATTTTAACTACTCCATAAAATTGGAAACAAATGTCAGACTTCATTTTGTTGCTTTCAAATATTATATATATTCTTGAACTTCTCCAAAACAAAAATAAAATATTGAACAAATTGAATATACGCAAACAAAAATCATAAATATAATTGATAAGCAACAATAATATCAGTACACACAATAATTAAAGTCAAATTAAACTCGTCCATAACCAATTCCATAAGAGAATAATGGACAAACATGCCCGTGTCATTACCAATTAGCCAAAATATTCATCATCATCAAATAAAAAGATATTTGCAACCATAATCGAGCAAAAATATTCATCTTAAACAAAAAGATAGCTGGCCACAAGCCAAATTCAAAAAATAGCAAGTAAATTTGCCACCAACAAAAGGATAATCAGTCAAATGCAAAATCTACTACTACAATCAATATATCATACAATAAAAGTCAAAATGGCGCATTTCCTCTTTGTCTTGCTTTAATTTTTTGGAGCACCTCAAAAATTGTTGTTTTCTTCTGCATAGGCTTCTTAGTTAGATTACCTTCAGGTTGATTTTGATCGGGGGGCAAATTTGATGACGAGCAGCATGCTTCTTTGAAGACATTTACCTGAAATACTAATGTTCTCATAACAGAAGAAGCGTGAATCTTCCAATTGCAACCTTTCTTACAAACTGCTGTGATTTTATGCCTTTCACACTTCTTGAAAGATAAATCCCAGCCCTTCCTAACTACCCAATCTCTCAAGACCTCCCTGAACATGGCTCTATTAGAGAATTTCATACCAATTTTCATCTCAAACTCATTCACATTGGGGTAGTTTTTCTCTTTCCATAATTCATATCCATCACCTTCATGATCTGAACCTTTCAAACTCTCTAGATCACTATCACTGTCGCTTTCAACATCGCTGTACCAATCTTCTTCATTGGAGTTGCCGAGTTGGTCTATATCGTATGTTTGAGCATTGGTCTTCTGTGCAGATTCTTGCATGATAACTCTCATTCTTTTTAGTTCTTGATGAGCGTGGTCTTCAGGTCTCTCGACAAATATATCATCATCATTTGGACCTTCAAAATCTTCAGCCATCCATGAATCACAGTCAGAATTATCATCAACTTCATTTTCAGCATTATGAACTAAGTCTCCATCAATATCCACATCACGTTGGGCTGAATTTTCTACATTTACCCCATTACGCTCATCATACAAAAACCAATTTGTTTCCGGGGAAAAGTTTGTTCCAACGCACTATCTCTGTCCATCTCCACACAAAAAAAAAAAATAGAAAAATTAGTTGATAAAAGGATAAAAAAAAATCATTATTAAAAGAAATTAAATAGTACCAAAGCTCAATTTTTTTACAACTTATTGATTTTATTTTACAAAGCTCTAAGATCGATAACAGAACATATTTTGTTATCATATTTAAATGATTCTCTCAACATAATACAGTGACTTTTTACTATTAATTTGAAAGCAAAAGAAGAAGATGACATTTTTTAATGTTTTTATTCATTTCCTCCACTCTTAAAAAGGATCCCACTCAGTTATAAATACCACTTGCTTCATCCAATATAATAATTTATTCGTAAGGCCTTACCTTTGCAACAGAAGTATCCTTTCAAGGTCGGTGGTAGCCGGAAGTGCAAGGAAAGTTACAGAGTCCATGGTGCTTGGACGGTGGCCATGGTGGAAGATACTGGTATTGATTAGGGTGGTGCAGAGAATTGTGTTTTGTGCTAAAAAAATTAGGGTAATGAAATTAGGGTCTGGGTTGAGAAGTCCGATAGCTTTTTTGTTTTTTTTTTTTTTTTTTTTTTTTTCTTTAATTTAACCTTTAATTGATTGAAAGGGCAAATTCATAAATTTACCGATATATCTAACGGCGTTAGTAACTAACGGAGAAGGGGAGTGTATGCAAGAAAAAATAAAACAGAGGGGGATTGTACGCAATAAAATTAACACAGGGGGGTTTGGTGCAGGTTTTACAAAACACAGGGGGGTTTTATGCTCTTTACCCCATTTACGCATGCAGTGGACCAATTCTCGATCATGAAATCGCACGATTTTACTGCGTTATCATAATCTTGATCTGATATAACTGAATGGCTCCAAGCATACTCGAGCAATCCTTTGTAATCGAAGTAATCATTTGTTTCGGGATTACCTACCTTCAAATTAAATGTTAAATGCTTTAATTTAATTCATGCAAACTGTAAATTGGACAAAATATTTACGGAGGATGAAAGTAAGTACTATGAAGCCTTTGAGGTTGATGTAAGGATATTTATTTCTGTTATTGTTTCTGTCATAAATGAGTTCGGCGAGCTGAGGTACGTAATGACCTACAAAAAACGAGGGAGAATCGTTGTTAACTTTAATTAATCGAAGAACGATTTTTTTTTAATTGTGTACAAAAAAGGGATTAACCTGCATAACTCTCTCCTGAAATGAAAAAATCATGATTCTTGAAATGTGGGAATTTATTCAGCCAATTTACCAAAAAATTGTAAGTGTCCTCAGCTGTAGATTAGAAAATAAAATGAAATAGTTGGTATATATAAAATGAATAATGGTAGCACTATATGAACGGCGGATATTACCGACGAATTCGTCGTCTATAAGGGCGAAATCGGAAGAGGTGTTGGTGTATGAGAATCCAACTCCAATTGGAGATTCCACAAACAGCAAATTTGCCTCTGCAATATTAAACAAATCTTTAAATTATTAAACATATTTCAAGGGATAATTTATTAAAAAAAAAAAAAAAAAAAAAGGGACCTTTATTCCAAGAATGGGGATTAAATTCAAGATTAGCTCCATTTTTACCAACCCTGAGAGGACCCAACTCCACAGCTGCTCCATAACCAATTGATGAGCAACCAGGCCCTTAATTAATAAATAATTATATTACCACAAAGAAAGAAAGAACACATTAATTAATTAATTAATTATTCATCAAAAATAAATATAGATATGTAAGTATATATGTACCTCCATTGAGCCAGAGGAGTAGAGGGTTGTTGATTGGTTGAGATTGAGCTGGAAAGAACCAATAGAAAAGGGCTCTGCCATGAGATTCATTAACTGTAATGTACCCTGAGAACTGTGATATATTCTTATTAATTGGTTGACCTGCTAATTTTATTACTCTATCATATTCATATTCAATATTTTCCCCATTAATGCAGCATCTATTTAATGCTACCACAAAAACAAACATAAATAACAACATAGTAATAGTATTACTACTTCTCTTGTCAATTAACTACACTTTCAGATTCCATTCTTTTTTACTTCACACTCATATATATACATATCACTGTCTCTGTGTGTGTGTGTGTGTGTGTGTGTGTGTGTGTTTGAGTGTGTGAGAGAGAGAGAAGAGAGAGTGAAAGGATATAGAGATAGAGATAAGCAGTAGTCCAAGAATACAAAGCTGTTACTTTTTCAAGGTGGAAGGAATTTGGAAGCAAGTGAAGAAAACATTATTGAGATTTTGTTTATTATTATTATTATTGCATGTTTGAATTTTTCATGCTTGTGATATTTATATTTATATTTATATAAAAATAAATAAATAAATAAATTGACTGCAAACCTTGTACTAAAAAACAAATAACTTGTGGTGGACCACGTGGGATTTTTTGTCCTGTCAAAATTATTTTTTTCTCATCAATATTAAATACATAATATAAAGAAACTGAATTGAACAGTTAATAAATTGCAATTTCAAAGTTTAATCTAAAAGGTAGTATTGAAACTTCATTTATTTACACAAATCCAAATAAATAAAAGTGTGAAGATTACAAATTCATATATGTAATAAAGGAAGTTGTGCTTATTTGTGGATCACCTTTGCAGTAATATCTTTCTTCTTCTTCCTCCATTTAAATAGGGTCAAGAACCAATTCATCATCAGACTCTGTACTATGTTTTATTTTCTTCGTAAACAAAAACGGTCTGAGAATAAATCTCGAGAAACGGCTCAACGGGTCCTGAGGCCCTTCCATTTCGTAATGCCCAAATCGCCAATCGCGTGCAGTATAAGTCCTCATTATCGGTTTATCTAGCCCTCCTATAAATACCGAGAAATTAAGACAACAAAAATAATGTAATAATAATTATTTAAAAAACTATGAGGATGAATAATTACCAGCATACATGAGACCACGTTTATCAACTGCACGATAAAACGGTCTCGTTTTTCCCTCTTTAGCAGCCATTTTAAGTTCATTCCACGCTTGAGCTCTATCTAGCCGTGTTATTTTACCCGTTTTTACTACCTGCAATTTTCAATCTCGGTAATTATTATTTATTTTACGAAAAATAAATAAATGGTAATGAATTAATAAATTGTTACCTTCGAGAACAAATGATATGAGGGTCTCGGAATTCGAGCAAGATTATTCGACCGGTCAACTGAAACGAGCCCAAACTTAGGACCATATCCATCAGCCCATTCCCAATTATCAGATATTGTCCAGAAAAGATAACCAAGAATGGGTACACCCTAAATAACAACCAAATTTAGGTCTATATTATTATTAGCACAGATAGAAAAATATATATATGAAATTAATGATTAAAATTTTAAATTAGAAAAAATACCTTGCTCATTGCTGCATAAGTTGCCAATAAATGTTCCAAAATGTACGGCCGCCTGATCAAATCCGTCTCATCTGAAACACCGTTTTCCGTAATAATAAACGGTAACCCTAAATGTTTGTATCTATCATGAAAATGTAGTAAAACGCGGTACAATCCATCTGGATAAACACCACGTCCAGATTCACTGTACTCGTCGCTTTCTACGAGCTTCAATCCAGCACCAGAAAGCACTTCCTGCCCAAAAGTATTCCAAATTTTATATTTAAATCCAAGAAAATATTAAACCATGTTTTAATTAATATTAAAAGGACAAAAAAAAAAAGGTACAAAACCTGTCCGTAGTAATTAATCCCAATATAATCCAACTTTTCAGAAATACTATCCATAAAAGGAAACATAGTCAACGAATTAGATACCGACACAGCAGCTATATCGAATATTCCATAAGGTCTCATAAAAGGGACATGGTGTGCTACTCCAACGATCGCATTCGAAATTTCACTGAACCATAAATAAATAAATAAATATTATCGAGATATTTTTATCATAGGATTTTAATTTAAAAAAAAAATAAAAAATAAAAAAAGAAAACCTTTTGTCATGGATATAATCATAGGCCATGGAGTGTGCAATAGTAATCCAATTCATGGTCTGGTTGAAGACGCCAGTTGGCAGAGCTGACGTGGCAGCCTCGAGCATGTCGGGGTTGCCACGAGCATGTCGGGGTTGCCACCTGGCCATGCACCAGCACAATAAGTGAGCATGCAAAAAATGTGTGGCTCGTTGAAAGTCACCCAATAGTCCACCAAATCCGATACACAGTCCACGACAAGTCTGTAATATAAATTAATAAAATAAATCAATTGCAACAAGAGGTAATAATAATAATAATAATAATAATTAATTTGACAAGAAAGGAGAATTAACCTGGTAAATTCCATAAAATAATCGACGGTTTTCTCGATCTTCCACCCTCCATACTCAGCCGCCCATGGCGGCAAAGAGTGATGGAAGAGTGTTAGCATTACTTTCATTCCGTACTTTCATTCCGTACGAGTGGACTTTGTTGATGATCCATTTATATCGCTCTAGTGCTGCGAAGTTGATCTAAACAAAGAACGTAGATATATTGGTTCATAATATAGAATAGCCAGAATAAGAGGTTTAAATAGGACGGAAACGGATCTAAATTAGAACTTTCGGAAAAAAAAATCATTTTTTTTTCGGAAGTGCAAAAACTAATTCCAATTACGTTTCAAAATGATTCCGAAAAATAACGGAATTTTTGGAAATTTGAATGAAAAAACTTGTTAAAAAACGAAAATTTCCGGACATAATCGGCGAAATTCGGAATTTTCATAAATTATAATTCAGAAAAAATCGAAAAAATACAGAAATCGCAATGAAAAATATTGTTCCGTAATCGGAAATATTCGGATCGATTCGGCGGAATTCAGATATTCCGTTTCAATTTCCACCCCTAGGCAGAATAGTCGGACATAATATATAGAGATACAACACACACAAAAATCTACTAACATAGATAGAGAAGGATTACCTAATAAAATAGACTCCTATTCTAAGGCAATAAATACCTAAATATTCAAACAATAGTGATTTTTTTTTTAGTATCACGTCGATAGCAACCACAAATGAATATTCCTAATAACACCACAATTCATATTGCTAATCTTCCGTATAGAAAGCCGTACGTCTTTAGGAAATACAGGAACAACATAATATATCAATACAAAATGCGTATTACTTACGGTATCTCTTTGACCGTTAATTGGCTCGTCGGGCATTATTCTTGTCCAATCTATTCCCATTCGGAAGACTTGAATCCCGGTATCTTTAGCCAACTTTAGCTCTGTATCAGGATCAGACCAAAATCTCAGTCTCTCTTCCCTATTAAAAAAAATGCATTTTTCCGTTTAGATTTAATGCAATTTTATATTTAATTCAAGATTGTTAGAAATTTATTTACGGGTGTGGAACATTATGCCAAGATGCAACAGAGTGATGACATTCTTCGCTAGGGTTAGGTTCTTGATCAATTTCTTCGTATTTTTCATATCCTCGTATTTTGGCTTCCATGGCTATTCTGAGCTGCTTCTTTCTCTTGAAGCTCTTGTTGGCTTCTCTATCTGGCGGCGGTGGTGGTGCCGCTGGTTGAGAACCACCGTCACCTCCGGCGGAGGCAAGAATTGCATCGGCTGATTCGGTGGTGCCGCCAGCTATTTGGGAGTCTGGATGGTCACAAGGTGTTTGTTCAGCAAACTGAAGCCAAGCATCATTCAGCCTGTCTTCAACATGTGCTGGTGCTGTAGCTAATCCGAAAAAAAACCCCTTTTCTCCTTCTATTTAATTTATATATAAAAAAAAAAAAAAAGATTAAATTAAACATATATTTATTCATATGCTTTGGTACAACATCATTAATTAATTAATCTCGCCCAACGTACAGCCCTTATTTTTGAAACCATGAAATCATCAAAACAAAATCAAATCTTATATTACATGAACAAAATTTCAATTGCATCGTTCAATTGGCGAAGAGAATCCCTAAATGTAGAGTTGAAGATAAGCAGCATTACCGGAGGTGGGATTAATGTTGAATTGGGCGAGAACATCGGCGGAATCGTCGACGGGGGAGTCAAACGGCGTTAGGTTGTTCCGTTTGAAGCGCGAGAAGGAGAAGGCGTTGGCCGCGACAGTGACGGAGGCTAAGGCTCCGGCAAGTTTCGTTGCCGTAACGATTAGCGTGGCCAGTGTCATTTTGGTGAATATTCCCCAAACTGCTGAACGGATATTTGAGGTGATGAGAGCTGACACGTGTCGGACACCTGAACCGAATCTCCGGGAAATAAAATAATGAGATTCCAGGTACAACACTTGCTATAACACGTGTGAGGAATTTTGTTATATAAAAAGAATAAAAAAATAATTATTATATGAAAAAAAGTTGATGGCCCATAATTAAATTTAAGTTGATAAATTGGATCTACCTTTGCAATTGGGTATTTCGAATGACAAGCCAAATATGATTTGGGTTGGGCCTTTGGTCCTTGATCCATAAATCTCAGAAGTCAAAATCAAAATTTTATTGCATTTGTTTCTCAAATAAATAATTAGGGAAGCCCAAGTATTGAAGATAGTATGACCCAAACAGTTAAGCCCAATAATACAAAAACAGACCAACAAGTCAAACTTAGATTATTTATTTATTATTCGGAAATATATGTATTCAAAGTCAAACTTGCTGGTAAGAAACAAATAAAAAAAAAAATTTGAATGTGGTCCATATATTTAAAATAAAAAAAAAAATAAAAAAAAAGAACAGAGTGAGTTATATCTTATATAATGATTACATGGTTCAGAAAATTCTGTGGTGTGAAAGTAACTGTTCATCCACTGATCCATCTTTTTCAGATTAAATTCTTTCTTCCAAATTCCATTTATTTCTGCCCCCACAACTACTTTCTTTCTTTCTACATTTTTTTTTTATTTTAATTTTATTTAGCAGAGGAAGCCAATATTAATTATTCCCACCAAATTGTTTTCACCATTTTAGCTCTTTTTTACTCTCACTTTTTACATCCTCCACTCAAACAAGTAACCACTTTTAATTTCCTCTATTATTAATTCATCCATACCATTGATTTACTGAGTCAATTTTTCACGAATTACTTTTACTTCGAAATTGGAATAATAAAATTGCATGACTCTGGTTTTTTAACTAATTGGAGTTTGACAAGTGTCCAGTTTATTTTATTTTATTTGGTAATACTATATTTGTCAATAAGGTTATTGGAGTTTGCAAAGAAATAGTAAATATAATGACCACACACTGTAGTTAACTTTTCACTACAAATTGTAGGACCATACATCATTAACCCACCAACATTATTATTATTATTATTATTATTATTATTATTATTATTATTATTATTATTATTATTATTATTATTATTATTATTATTATTAAATAAACCATCATTTCAAGAAAAAGAAAAAAAAAAAAGGACCGCATGGAACTATATTGTTGACAATATTATCATTTATGAAAATTTGGCATATTTCATAGTCATAAATCAATTTCTTGAAACCTCCTAAAATGCAGATAGGGCTAAAAGAGTCACATTCACCGGCTAAAAAAAATAAAAAATAAAAAAACGAATATAATGTTAATCATTGAGACGAGGAAGCATGATAGAAATTTTTTGTAATTACTAATAAATTGAAATTTCACACTTACGATGAGACAAAGGGGAATTTCCATATATACCCTTAGGTTTGTTTTGACATAGGTCTAAACATTGAAAGTTACACTCTCCTACTAGATAATATTTTGGATTATTTTAGGTTTATTGAAATTAATATAGTATTTTTTATGGTCATTGTCGAATTTCAAGAAATCTACTTGCGATGTATTATTAGGCTCATTATTTTTTTATTGAAATTTCATGTTACTCCGAAGTTAAAGTTTATGTACGATAAATTTGATGATTTTCGACTCGCAATGTAATTTAACTTTGTCGAAAACTTGGATTCGTGATCAAGCACGGCCGCATGGGTCCTATCGTTTGTTGCCGGTTGCTTATTAATACTATAAAAATTAACAATATTTAATTCGAGTTTTGGCGGATCCTAATTATCTTATATAGATATATAACATTTGTAGGGACAAAAATAAATAAATAAAATATATACATATATATATATTGAGATATGAGAGGCTACTTTCACATTAAATCAACAAGGTGCAGAACATTAATAATTCATTCACATTCACATTCCGTTTGTAGGCATCATGCCCCTACCAATATAGTTGTGACTATTTATTACACTCATTTTTTAAATTTTCATTTATTATTATTGCAATCTTTTTATTTATTTATATATTCGTGCTTGAAAAACAAAATTCAAGATTTACCTACACAGTGTTAGAAATAATTTAAGCAGGAGGGGGCCTGAAATTTTGGACCCCCTATTGTCGAATTAACGTTGCACTCTCACCACATATATGTATCATGATTTAGTGTATATATATATATTTATGAGCTTTTTGCAATAATAATAATAGAAAAAAAAAAGGAATTCGAGGAAAGCGAAGAATTGTAGAAATTAATTGAACCATAAATAAATAAATAAATAAATTATAATAAGTGAAAAAGGACATGGGAAGTAAAAAAGAAAATGGCCCTGATGCTTCTTATATGGGTCATAGCATCAGAGGAATGGCATTAAAAGGCTATTTGAGTCAACCAAAAATTTAGTCAAACAACAAAAATCACATGCATCACCATACCTACTATTTATATTTAAAATAAAAAATTGTTATTCTTTTTCTTGTCCTCAAAATAATTAAAGAAAATTGTACCTAGTTAATTAATTTTTTTAAAGAAATTCACATATTATTTATTCTAGAATAATAATATTGTAATTAATTATTGGCAATAATTACATGTTTGACTGTCTTAGGAAAGTGTGATACATGAAAATTGAAATTAAATTACCCTTGAGAAATGAGATGCCTTAATTCCCTCACAAGCCCAAAATTTTATATGTGGAAATTAACAATTAACACTAAAAACAAGTGATTATTTATTTAATTAAATAAGCACAACATTGTGTACATTTAGGTGGATTACTCTTACCTAGACCTAGAATTTATAATCTTTATATTCTTGTTTTTGTCTCCGTTTCCCATTTCCCCATTAATTAATTTAATACCAAGATAAGCCCCATATAGCATCATATTAATTATTTGATTATATTTAGTGAATTCTTATGGACAATTTTCTGGGGTAAATTACAACCGCCCCCTAGTTATGATTATTTACGAAAAAACCCATCAATTTTACATAATTCCCAATTTGCACCATCCCTATAATTTTTAGATTAATTATTTTAACACCCTTTTGTAGTGGGTGGAGTAAGAAATCTACAAAGTGCAGGGAGCTCGATGTAATTTCTCAAAATTAGGATTTTCTTGTAAATAAATTTTACCTCAGGGAGGTAATTGTAATTTACCCCAAATTTCTCGATAGAATTGATGATGGGGGAATCTTGTACATGTTTTCTTACATAGAGTTTCTCATGGAATTCATGAATTATTAATGCAAGAAGCAAAAACTAATCTCCAACAAGTTTCAATTAAGCATACAATTATTACCAGTTTTACCACTAATAAGTGTGATTAAGGATGAGGTTGATTTGATCTGTTTTTACCACGTGGTACTTTTTTAATTGAATAATATTTTAATGGGCCTTATATCTGTCACAGTAAAGTCCATAAAAAAAGCCCACTAACTGTCCATAAAAAGCCCATTCTCTCCCCCCCTTTCTTTCATTTATTCCTTTTCTTTCTCTCTCTTCATTTTGTGTGTGTGTAGTTTTGCACTTGTTTCCCCATGTTAGAGAGAGAAAAGGATGCAAAGAAGGAAGAAAACCTGCAATTTTTACAACAGTACTACTAGGTATGTATAAACACACACACACACACACACAACAAGAACTCCTCTTATGAGTTATGAGTTATGACTCACTACCGAGTTTACAAATTTGGCAAAACTATATATGCATGACCATTTCTGCAAGTTATATAAGTTCAATACATGTTTAACTTTATCTCTTTCTTGATATATATATATTTGTACTAATCAAGCCATAATTATATTTTTTTTTTCTTTGTTATATATATCTATAGACTGTAGTACAATTGCCTTCATATTTAACCATAATTTTCTTGATGTGTTTATATAATATATACATGTATATAAATAACTCATTCACAAGTATGCTCATTTATGCAGGCTATGAATTTGACAGAACATTCCGATTTTCATGGGAGCATCAATACAAATATTGTTATCCGGCCGGGGGTTAAAAAAACCGGAAGCTTTGATCAAAAAGAGAAAATCCCGGTTAATGATTCTACGATGAACAATTCTCTGCAAGTGGTGTTCGTTTTATTTGGGTGCTATCCTACCTGAGCTTTTCACTTTTTTTATTTTTTTCTTTTTTTCTTTTCGATTTTTTCTTTTTTAATTTTTTGATTTGTTGCCTTTTATTTTTCTCCAAGCCCGTGTCTTCTTGACCTTGTAAGACCTTTTCTTGACCTTGTAAGACCCGGAGTCTTGTGTTCTTTTTTTGTTTTTCATCTCGTGTTGGATGCCACGTCAGCGCTTTTCTGATGTTGGTTTAATCCTTTTTCTTTCTTCGTTCCCGTCCAACTCACGTTCTCCTTCCTTGTCTATCCCTCCTGAGCTATTCGGATGTATTTTCGAGTTAATTAGTGCAAGAATTATATATGTATCTTAGTTTTTAATTAGTTAAACAGTAATCACTTTGATTGTAATTACATATATATATATATGTTGTAGTAGGAGCATTTAATTAAATTGAGTTGTAATAATATTAGAGGGGCAAATAAGCCAAATATAGAAATTGGTGTGGAAAAATGGAGGCCCTCAATTTTTGTTGTTTTATATGTTTTTGAGCTGAAAAGTAGTAATGAGAATAAATATTCTTGCAGTTTCCTTTGTTTCTCTCGTGACTGCTTTCATGTACAACTTTTAATTATTATTATTATTGATTATACAGACTCTATTATTGGATTCATATATGTATATATTCAACCATATATTCTTAATTAATCATGACCATTCAATGGAAAGGGTACATCACTTCATGCAATGATCAAACGGTCAGGAATAAAAACCTGGTGCATTTTTTTGGTTATGTACAACTTTTCATCTGCTTCTCAGAATTTTCTGCAAGTTTGGTGTGTTTTATCATTTATGTGTTATTATTTCAGTTTAAAATAAATAAATAAATAAAATAAATTGTCTGAAGACTGAGAATTAAGAATAGGGGGTCCATTTAATGTTAGTTTCAGTTTCAACATTTTCTGAGCATTTTTGTGAGGTTAGAGTCTTTGATTTTTGGAACTTCTTGCTTTTGTAATTATTCAGACACATTACCAAATTACAAAACTACCCCTCTCAAGGTGAATATATAAAATAATATATACATATAGTTATGGATGAAATGATGATGTTTCCAAGTTGGGCAATGAAAGCTTTAGACATACATTAATTATTCCCTTATTTACTGAAAGATATTCTCAATGATTTACTTTTTCTAAAGCATGGACAAATTAGTCAATAGTAATAAATACACTATAACTACTTATACAATTAATTATCTATAAATCTTTCAAACAACCAACAAAACTAGTTTTGTGTATCAGGGGTATAATAGTCAATTTTAATGACCATAATACCCTTGTAGTGTAGGTATCTGTGTGTTTAAGAAGGAATACTAAATAAAGGAGTAAAGTGTATAGAAAGGTGAAAAGAGAGTGATGATTTGGGGGTATGTCATATTCATTAGGACTTATAAACAAAATGATTCATCACAAGGACCTTTTCCTAAAGTTAAGACATCTCTTCAAATATTGTCAAACACACTCTCATTAAATAATAAATGCCTTTTTATCAATTAGGTGTTTACTCTACTTACACTTTGACATGATTTTTCACATTACATTCGAATTCCAAATTTCATTTTTATTTTGTTTTATCAGAATTGAAATATATACGAAATTTCTAATCCCGAAGAAATCCCAAAACTTCCAACAGAAAAATTATGTATACTTGTAGTATCATTGTGTATTTTATATATATCATATAAAAGTAAAAGATAGAAATTTCGATTTCCAAATATTTGGATTAAAAAAAATAAAAAAGTATTTTTTTTTTTTTTTTCTTCGAAAAAAAAAACTAAAGTGGGCCTTGTCATAGTTTTTCTTTGTTATTTTACTTAACGGGCCCTTTATGAAATCTCTTTTTCTGCTTAAAGATTTCAAATAAGGCTAGGCCCAAATGAGCTTACAAGATCAAAATCTAATCGTTGCACCTAAATATAAGTAAAAATGTTACGAAATTATAAAGAATTGCGGTTCAATTTTTTTAAGAATATAAATGCCGTATGCCCAAGATCAACATACGAAATATAAAAATTATAGTGAATTGCGGTTCAGTCCGTGTAAATTTTTAAAGAAAGTATTTATAATTAAAGTGGAATATCATTTTAATTTAATTTAATTCAATTCGTAAATTATGTAAGAATCAAACGAGCTTATCCGTCATGAAAATCCCACCTACCGGAAGGAGGAATTATATATTTTCTGGATGATTATATATTTTCAGATAATAGTTAAATAAAGCTTAGTATTTATAAAATGTAGCATAAATAGTCATACATATATACTTAGCTTGAAAAAAAATAGACGGAATTATATATAAAAAAAAAATATTACCCTAATTGAATTTAGAACTGTACGTAGTAGGAGCTAGGCCAGGTCTATACTATTATTAGTGGGGTTTCTTTTCTCCCTGAAATTGATAGCATGAATTCTGGACATATTACCCCATCCCAACTATTTTTTTATTATTATTAATATATACACATTCGTACTGCACTTCACACACACACACGCACACTTTACGCACATTTACACACTTTATCTATTTTTATATATCACATATATACATTTGTGTCCAATTATTGAACCACTGGTTCTCTAGTTTAACATATTTAGGTGACACTTTCTCTATATATATATTTTTTATTTTAATATTTTTTTTTAACAGAATCTAATGGCTGCTATTTGATGAAAACAATTGAGTCCTTTTATCAGTAGATGTCACTTTTTTTGAAGTATTAATTAATTAATTAATTTTGGATGACAATAATTGTGTCAATCTGATAATAGATAGTACTACGTAAGTTTTGAAAAGAAATAAATAAAAAAAAAGTAAAGTGACCACACTATACTATAGCTAATTATAAACAGGGGCCAATTATAAATTGTTGACAAGATTAATTGAATTATTGATCACGGACCTTCGATTAAGAGGGTATATGGGTCTGGACCGAATTATATGTGTCCCATTTATCAATTGTGACTAATTGTGGGGGCATGCAAATTTATGTGTAGCCTTCTTTTTTTTTTTTTTCAAGAACCACCCATGTCTAGTTTTTAATTGTCGAAAGCGCCCTCATGTGAAAATAAAATGACAATTGTATCCTTTTTTAAAAGTTAGTCAAGACCAATAAAACTCATGCGTCGAGCTGATTGTGTGATACACTAGCCATATATGTTAGCTGAAACTCTTGATTAATGAGAGACTATAATTAATGCATGACACTTATATATATTTCATAATTAAAGAATAAAAAATGGGGTCGAGTAATTCTTTGTCGTGCCAGCTCAACTGAATTAATTAGTAGAGTGTGTATATAGATAGGGTCAACGGATGAGTTTGGACCACAAAAATAAATGAAGAAAATGAGATCATAAATGTGCCCATGCATGTTACATAGGATAAACCTAATTAATAATTAATATTTAATAATAATAAAAAAAATAATAAGAAGAAATTGAAATTTAGGACACATTGTGAGAGAAAGGAATGATCAACAATTGTTAGATGGTTAGAGGCATTAGGGTGAGGACCCTTACACGCGCGCAGTTCTTGATTTGATTTATGTGTGTGTAGGCCTTTTATGTTTCTTTCTCTTTATCTTTACTTTCTCACTCATAATATCCATTTCTACTTCTTAATTATATTATTTATATATTTATATGGTTGTAGCTATATGCAATACTGATTTCACTTGTGAAGTGTGCGTGTGATGAACAAAACCAATAAAATTATTCGGATTTTTTTTCTATGTCAAACTTAAGTGTATCATTTTATAATGTCGTCGATTATATGACTAACTCATTAAATTTAATTTAAAAAAAAAAAATCGAAAATGCTAATTTCGAGGGGAAAAGATATTTTTACTTGTGTGAGATATATGCTCCTTGAACAAGAATAATGCAAATCTAAAGGAGATAATGAGCATGTTATTTATTACATTTTGGGTGTATATATATATATTAATTACAAATACATATATTTTCAGTGAAATTATTGAGGTGAGTAATTAATGATGTTATATACTATTAAGTCACTGTAATACAATATGATACGAGGAATCTTCCTAAATAATGGTGGAGATATGAATATCAATGGAAAAAATATTTATCCCTATAAATAATCCTACTATTTGCAATAATAATAACAATATCTTATGGTACTTACTTGTAGGAGTTTGTCTTAAATTGGGATATATTAGAACAAGTGAAAGTCGTCTTCCTCCGATTTGGCAAAAACAATTAAGATTATTTCAACCAAATTAAGAAAAAATTCGCAATGTATTAGTCCCCTTATAGAACATGTGACACCATATTCTTTGCAAAAATCACACTAAAATAACAACTATTGAAATGTAGCTCTAGTTGATTGAGCAAGAAAGAGTTACGTCAAATAATTCATACTCGGTTTTACTTGTAAATAATTACAAGGTCGAGTTTGTCAAACATATTATATATATATATATATATATCTGCATCAAAATTATGGCAGTTTATCTTTATGCTATTCGGTTATGACTTTGTTTAAAAAATAAATTAGATGAAAAAAAAATTATCATAAAATATTATGAAAATCCAATATACCAAAAAGTCAACATTCTTGACAGTCATAAATTTGGTATATCGTTTACGTTTTCATCCTCCCATTAAGAAATAATAAATATATAAATAAAAAAAAGGCTGCAATTTCCATATATTTATATCTGAACCCCTAGAATAAAATTAAAATAGGATTCACTCCCTTACTCTCTCTCTCCCTCTATATAAATTAAAGGTCCCCATTGTAACCTTTCCTTCCATAACAAAGCCTTTCTTTACTTGTGCTGCAATATTTATATATAAATATAATATTATAATATTCCAAAAAACACACACACAGTATAATGGTGGTGGCGGCGTCAATGAAAATAGAGAAAATAAGAGAAGATATCGAACTGCCGATCATAGACCTTCTCTCTCCAGAGCGATCGGAGAAGATAGTGAAAGCATGTGAAGAATACGGTTTCTTCAAAGTGATAAACCATGGTGTGCCGCAGGAGATTACTACCCGCATGGAAGAAGAGGCCCACGCGTTCTTCTCCAAACCCGGATCCGACAAGCTCCGGGCCGGACCCCCCAACCCTTTCGGATACGGGTTCAAGAATATAGGGTTCAATGGTGACAAGGGTGATGTCGAGTATCTCCTCCTCCCGCCCACTAACTCTCCTCATCATCATCATCACTTTTTCTCTAAATTTATTTCCTCTGATGATCCAAACAAATTCAGGTACTTTACATAAATCTTCTTCTCGATCTCTCAAAACAAAATATATGTATATATATATATCATGCAAGACATATATTATTCAATTAGTTTAATTAAGGTTGTTTTTAATTAATAAGATATATAGTACTATATAACATAGTATTTTGTTACGTGCAATAATTATTAATATGGATATAAATAAAAGAAAAAGAAAAAAGAAATATTAGTTATTGCGTATACCGTTGGAAATACCTCTTTTATTAGGACAAGCTTTATGGAAGTGGTGTAGAATGGGGTCAATTGCAGACTAGTGAAAAAAAAATAATCTAGTTCCAGGTTGTTCCTTGTTCTTCTTGCACTATTAGTACTATAACCCCAAAAAATAATATATATATATTTGAATTAAAATTCTTTGACAGAAATTGCCAGCGTAACATTGTTTGGCTTCTTTCATTCATTATATTCACCATCTTAGATTCTTATATTCTTCATATTTAATTTTTAATAATCATTTAATTCTAAAATTGCATTACTTTAGAACCCTTGTACGTAATATTTGAAAAATATATAATTATTTTAATATTTATATTTAATATAGAACTCGGGTCATCTCAAAACTTTGTTCACTTCTTCTTCCCACTTGTACTAATCATCACATTAGTAGTTTATTATTGGTGGATTGATAGGATTTTAAACTAATTTTGTTATAAACAAATAAGTGTAGCAATTAGTATTATGGTTTTGTTTAAGGAAGAATCATGGTATTGTAGTTGTAGGCAACTCTTATTGTGTCTATTTTAATTATATTCACATGGGATTTTAAGGTGATTACCAATAGAAATGATCCTCGGTTTAAGTTAATTATTACTTGTTAGTTTAAACTTTAAACTTGTCCGAAAAGACTGAGTTACCAATTGGGAATTGACATTAATTAAATATGAATTAGTGTTAATGAGTGGGGTTAAGTGCTTGTTTGAATTCTATAAGTATTCCCTGATCTCATAATCAACCACGTATCAGTTAAAAAAAATAAAGTTATTATAGTTTAATTAATTAAATAGGAAATCATGCGACCAACAAAAAATAAAAGTGAATAAATGTTAGAAATGTGCAAATTGGTATTATAGCTTTAGCTTTCTGATCAGTCTTTTTTAACAGAGTCTGCAGTTTCAGGATTAAATGCATTAATTCATCGGCCTGTAGAGAAAAGAATGAATGAATTTAGATATAGAATTCAAACAGTGGAAATGGATAGATATGAATATTATACAGTATAATATGTACCCTTTTTCAGTTCTTCTTACACACTAAATAAAAATAATTAAATAAATAATTAAGGCCGGGTGACAAGTCTGAAATCTGATTCGACCAATCAAATCAAAAGATTTATTTATTAAAAAGAAAAAAAGAACATGACAAAGTTCCCATAAATGGGGGAAAACCCAAGTGACAATTTTTACCATATCTGACAGTTTTTACCATTAATTACCATATATTGTATGTATTAAAATAATAATAAAAAAATATTGGGGGTTAGGTGTGCAGTGGGTGAATACGTGGCAGCGGTTAGAGAGTTGGCAAGTGAAATAGTGAATATGATAGGTGAAGGTCTGAAGTTAGAAGGAGATGGGGCAAAGGTGCTGAGTGGGCTAATCAACGAACCTAACTCTGACTCGCTACTCAGGCTAAACCACTACCCTTGTTGTTCTGGTGACTCAACTGAATCCAAGATTGGGTTCGGAGAGCATACTGACCCTCAGATCTTGACCCTACTTAGATCCAACGATGTACAAGGACTCCAAATCTCCTTGGAGGATGGTGTGTGGGTCCCTGTCACTCCCTATCCTCACTCTGCTTTCTGTGTCAATGTTGGTGACGTCTTGCAGGTAGAATTGTTTCTCTCTCTCTCTCTTTATTTATTTATTTACTTCTTAGTCAAAAAACATTACGTGTGTAGAATTGTTAGTGCCGGTTGCAAGTTGGAACGAAAATTTTCGAATTCTTGTTTTAATTTAATTTCTATCTCGATATTCCGATTTTCCGAATTGTATGATATTAAATTTTTGAATTAATTACGAAAATTCTAAAATTAAAACTCCAGTGCTATTTCATTAGCCTTGTGATTTTTTTTTTGAAAAAAACTTTTATTCGATCCGATCCGATCCATCTGACTCGTAGAAACCAAGTAAGCATAGAATAAAGAAGGTTAGAAAGTGAAGTTGGCACAAGACTGACAAGTGGTAAAATCATTATCCAACAAAATTAAATAAATAATAAATCCAACTCCCCAAGTTGATGGACATATATATGTTTAAAGAGAAATTTTGCCTTTTTTCTTTTCTTTTCTTTAATTTGCTCAGAGTTTTCGTGTTGATGTGTGAGAGATAGTTATTATAACCACTGACCAATCTCTGCAGAGCGGGGGCCCCCACCCCCCTTTTCTTCTACATTTATCTCATCATCCAATTGCCTGTTCATTATTTTTTTTAATTATTATTGATTTAATTTGATGATCAGGTGATGACAAATGGAAGGTTCTTGAGTGTGAAGCACAGAGCGGTGGTGAACTCGTACAAAACAAGAACTTCAATGGCCTACTTCGCTGCTCCGCCGCTCACTGCCACCGTGAGTTGCCTGCCGGGATTGGCGGCAACACCGCTGTATAGAAGCTTCACTTGGGCTGAGTACAAGAAAGCTACTTACGCTCGAAGATTAGGCGATAACACTCGTCTTAATCTATTTAAACTCCTCCCACCTGATCATGAATGATTTTTATTTAATGAGTAGTGTTGTTTTTAACCCCAAAATGGGAGTTGTGTACGATTAATTAATCGGTTTGTTTGTTGCTTGTTAATAGTTATTATTAGACTTCCTAGTTTCATGCAATTTTCAATTTCTATAAATCTTATAAACTTTGTTTGCAGGCCCAAATATAAGAATTGGGTACCTTACAATATAGCCCATATATTTTACATACAACTAAAACAGCCCAAAAACCCCATATATACATACAAACACCCACATATAGTATGAGATATGATAGATATACATTCAAGGCTCAAATAAAACTCACACGGGTGAATTTGATAGTGATGCAAACATCATAATAATGGAATGTGATCACTATCATTTCCTTAATTTGTTACGCCTAGCCAATGTATTCCTCACATAAATAGGTCTTTCCCAATTTATTTTGTAATATAGATTATTTAATTATTTCCCTTTTTATTCCCCCAAAATCAATTTGTGGCTGAGAATTAGATGCCTTCATTGAAAATCATTTTCATCATAATGCCTTGACAATAAGCAAAATCGGAGTGGAAGAGAATAGATATAGCAAACTATCGAGAACACCACATAAAATTGTACTAGCAATATCGTACGTAGCAGAACGATTTATTTAAAAAAAAAAAAAGCATATTTATTCTTCTCGACTATTTTTTTCTCCAATTAATACAAAATCGAACTCTTGGATTGACCATATTTGTAATTCATTGTTAATTTGTTATTATTTTACATTGACTAAAAATGAATTATCGTTGATTTGGTTCTCATTTGGTAATTGATGTGATTGATTAGGATTGCAAACTAGTTCATTTTGACTGTTATTAAAGATTGGCATTCTTTGACCACCATTTCTATTTTCCTTCAAAGGAAAAATAAAGTTGTGGGGTTTATATATATGTATAAATATAATTGATAATTCCTTGTTGATTGATTGATGGAACATGTAAAAATGTAGTATTTTATATTAGTTAAACCAAATTAAAGAACAAATTTAAGAACATTTTTCCAAATTAGGAATTCCAAAATCCCCAAAAAAATTTGACCAATAATCAATAATGAAAGGCAGTTTAATTTAAACAGTGAGATTTGGTGGAATTAAATAACGAGTTTACCAAAACAAAAACAACGTTTTCAAGATATGATTGATGGTAACTAACTAACAGCGTTTTCAGATGCCTATATATGTGGTCACCTCAGGTGAGTCCACGTCAAACTTTAGGTGGGCCCACCTAGTTACATGTGGCACTATTTCAAAGTCAGATTAATGCAAATTTGCAACTAATAACTAGATATACAACTATTTAAAGATGACTTTTTCAATCATGCAAAATAGTCATCTAATTACTAATGGAATCCAGTTGTATAACGAGTTGTTTTTATTTTAAAAAATAAATAAATCTAGAAGCGGAATAATATATATATCCACTGTTTGGTTAAAACTATATACAAAATTCATTAGTAATTTTGGATAATTTAAATTAATTCATCAATAGTTTAGAAGACGTGGCTAACAAATATTTCAATGGTTGCGGCTCTCTCTCTCTCTCTCTCTCTACTTGCCTGTCAGTGCTTCCGTCAAGGAAGCCTAATCAGATATAATATATATTCATTTCCTAATTAGTTTCAATAATTATCTCAATTAAATAATTAAATAATACTAATAATAAATGGAATTACACGTGGAAGTTCCTCAACACCACCTATTCGGGACCACTTCTAGTGACTTCTCTCTAAAAGGCACGCGGCCTACAATGATTCCCGCCGCCATACACTTTCTTTCTCATATTTTTCTTTTATTGCATTCACATCCTTCAAACAAAACGGAATACGCAATTACCACCATCAATTTTTAATTTAATTGCATTCACAACCATGGATAATTACAAATCACCACCGTCGATTTTTTAGATGATAAACTAAATATATATTTTCCAATTTATATATACATGTAAAAAATAAATAGAGAATATAATATGTGGTAGTATTTAACCAGTTAAATTAAATAATTGGTAAAGCAGAATGAATCTAAGATTGGAAGACAAGGAAGAATAATGTCCAGTTATATGGCTTCAAGACAAACTGATGTCCGTACAAATTAGGCAAATAAGAAAACAAACCAAAATAAGGTTCTTTAATAGGTTTAGTTTATGTTCAAATGTGTGAGCTTGTGAGCCACTCACGTGGCACATTTTGATTAACATGATAAGATCATACATACCTACATAGTTAATTAAATAAATATAAAAAAAAGTGAGATTTTGCAATATAAAATTCCGAATATTCCTAAATCATTGTTGGATTTACTTTTATATATGTATATATCTACAAACTAAATATATATACTACTAATTAAAACAGTGGATTCACGCCCCAATGCCATGTTTCCAAAATTCCACAACTCAATTAAATTAATAGAAATAAAATTATTATATAGAAAAAGAGAGAGATTAAAATAACAAGTAACAACGACATTTGTGTATGTAAAGATAGTGGAATCAATTATGCACACCTACAACACCTAATATTTTAATGTACCAATTAATCCGTAAAGTGCTACTTGTTAGTATCAGCTAATCCTTTACGCTTTCTTTTCACTTAATTGCCTCTTTTTAAAAAAAAAAAAATTGAAATAATAATTGTATGCTAATTAATTATTTATTAAATATGTTGCTTAATTATAAAACGATAGCTAAAACTTGTTCACCCTGTTTCATACGTATGATAGTACTGATACTCGGACCACTTTTTAATTTCTTATTCAATTTAATAGCTAGCATACTTTGAAATTCAATATTATAAAAAGTCCTGGTAATTAATTAACTATATACAATGGTTTGATTAATTAAAGAGGTAGTACTAGCTAGTAGAATTAAATAATTATTCACCCTCATCAAGTTACAATTTGTCTCTATTAATTAATCGACACAAACTACGTACACACTATATATAAAATCAAACCAAAAAATAACAATACAAAGCATATAAATTATTAAAAAATTAAAATCCTTGGCTTCTCCACAAATTATGTGAAGAATTAATTATCCTAAAAATAAAAAAATAAAAACGAGTAGTGTAATTAAGTAATTAATTTCTAGGGTTTTATGTATGTGTATGTTCTTAGCTTGTACGTTGATATTTATTATATAGAGAAGAATTACGGTTGTAAGAACCACATATCATCAACATTCCAGATGTTGTCGGAGACATCTCCACCGTCCATATTCCATTGGCTGTTTTGGTGATCAACGAAATCCATCCCGCCAGCTTGGTTAAAGTAACCAGAGGGGCTGGTTAAATTATTAGATTGGTCATCATCATAATTATAAGAAGAAAGGTGTTGGTGATGATGATGATAATTAATATTATTATTATTAGCAGCAGCGGCAGCAGGTGGATAATAATCTTGATTAAGATCATGATTAAGAGGGACGACGTAGTTATTGTAGCAGTCCGTCGTCATGTCAGAAACCGGCGTCCCAAAAGAATCTGACGACACCGCGGCGCTCGAGTTCTCCAAGCTGCCACCACCACCACCACGGATGATATTAGTTACATCATGCGGCTGGGGAACTGATGAGATTTGAGCGGAGCCCATGTCAAGATTAATTATATCCGCGTTCTGATGGGTGTTGATGACGACGTTGTAAGTGGTGGCGGCGGAGGCGGGAGTTCCGGTGGCTTGGGATTGGGATTGGGATTGGATACGCTCGACTAATCTGGGCATCCAAAGGTAGCGCATGGTGTCCTTGAATTGCTTGCTGTTGACGTCACATTTTAGCTGCTTTGCGTGTTTTTGCACTCTTGTTCTCCAGTAATTCTTTATTTCGTTATCTGTTCTTCCCGGCAAATGCTGTGCTATTTTCGACCACCTGATATTTTTTTTCCAATTCATTAATTCATTAATACTACTACTAATACGTACAAATATATATAATCGATCAATGAATTTATAAAAAGATTAATACGTGCGTACCGATTGCCCCAACGAGAATGTAGTTCGAGAATCAAGAGTTGTTCTTCGAGAGTGATATTACCACGACGTACATCTGGCCTTAAGTAGTTCAGCCATCTTAATCTGCAGCTCTTCCCTGTTCTCTTTAACCCTGCAGTAGTTCATTTTTATTACATTTCATTATTCTCTTTAATTAATTATTTAATTTCATCACCTAATAACAATAACAATTATTAAATATTAGAAAAAAGAAAAAAAATAATAAAACTTTTAAGTGGTAAAGTTTCACACGATACTCTCAACACACACACAAACACCTTTAATTTATATTCTTTTCTTGTACGGACATTGGACTAAATAAATCATCCGGCCATATGTATCTTGGAAAAATTAAATAAAAGATGATCATCATCTTTAAATAACTTTTCTTCTTTAAAATTCCCACGCCAAATCATGTATCTATATTTAGTATATACTACCGTACCTCCGATTCAGATAATATGAAATAAAAATAATATAAATCAAATTAAAGCGACGTTTAATTTGAAACATATATTACATATATATAGATATGAGTAATTAATTAAAAAAAAAAAAGAGATATAGAGAAAACATAATATATATACGAACCGGCGCAACGAGAAAGAGAGTTCCAACGGCCTTCACCGTGGTGAGCTATGTAGTTGATTAAGGTGAAGTCTTCTTCAACTGTCCATGGCCCTCTTCTTAGGTCCTCCATTAATATCTCTTCTTCATTTTCACTACCGTACTTTCTTCTTTCTTTCTTTTCATCCATCGGATCAACGACTCTTATAATTGATTGAATATTCACACAGATATTTTGATGAATAATATATAGATATAGAGATGGAATTTATAAGGGGTGGGTTATTGAGCTGGATTAGTAGTAAGATTATGATGATGATAAATTATGGAGAGATGGGGTTTATATATATATACACATACATACATATATATTTAGAGAGAGAGAGAGAGAGAGAGAGAAGAGAGAGAGAGAGAGGAGTACCGGAGAGAGTTGAAAATAATTAATTAGTGGAAAAAAGAGGTGGCATGTGAGAGAGGGGAAGTGGTAATTAGAAAGCCGCAATTCGGACTCATCTTTAATTAATATCTTAATTCTTTACTAGCAGCTAATTAATGTATTATTATTATTCATTAACCACACACTAACAAACTTAGTAGGAGGGGGCTTCTAACTAATATTATATTAATATTAATATTGTAGTTAAGCGAGTGAGGGCTTCGAAGTTTGACACTTTGACTTTTCTTATGTATCTGTGTCTACGTGTGGAAATTGATTTTCCTTTTTTTTTTAATTAAATGATTTTATTATGTCCAAATTATTTTATTTATTTATTTTTCAATCAAGTTGCTATGGAACTTTTGACTCCATCACTTGTGATATTACCGTGTTGATAAATTTTAGTTATACTTATACTCATAATTCAAATATTCAATTGTAGCTTAAATATTTTTATTATTAAAGTACAATTTATTTATACATAAAATTATAAATTAAATAAATTCATTCCTCTACTAATTAAGATTGGTTATGTGCATGAATGCAATTTGGACACGTGACACATTAATTACAAAATAGAAGATTTAATAGTGTAATTAATCACAGTAGATGGTCTCAAATCTATTGTGTTAACCATTAATTAACACAATAAATTGCAGCAGATGCCCTTTCATTTCATTCCCACGTAATTATTTTTTTAAATACAAATAAATTATTATTATAAAAGTGAAGAAATATTCATAAAATGATGACAAGGAAAATGTAATCCACACAATTAACAGTGGATTGATATTATATTCTAGATGCTATAAATTTGTGAAGGGGATCAGAGAAAATCTTTAGCACTTTATTTTATAATTAAACTCCTAATTAATAAAGGGCAAGTAATTAAGTTTTAGGCTCATAGAGTGTTTCTCTACACTTTAGATCGATTTATTCACGATTTATCCTTTCACACTATATTAATTAACGACTCGTCGGTTCATTCAAATGTCAAATTATTTTTCTAATTAATTCATGAAAAAACTCGGTTTAATTTTTAGACGATCAAATTTGGTATCTTTGATTGCTTTGTGAAAATAAGATAGCATATATTATGTATAAACAAAAATGTTATATATTAAATCATCTGAATTATATTGAGGAACAAATATTAATTAAGGACCAATTATATATAAATATAGAAATTTATTATTATATATATAACCCTATAAAAGTCAGAAGAAAATCAGAGTCCTAGGGCATTTCCACCCTGCTCTACCAGGGTTTTAAATAGTTAGTACATTTATTGTGAATTTAAGTTTATTAAGGACCAATTATATAATTATTAAAATTTATTACATATATACATTTCCATGCACGGGGTAAAACTAAATGTCATAAATAGTCAACTGAACCACAAATTATTTCTTCACTAATTTTATTTGCAACTTTGATGATTTTTATTTTTTATATATTTTGTTTATAATATCTAAAATAGTTATATATAAGAAGAAGAGAGTCTAAATAATAATATTAACTCTGTAAGTTTAAAAGGTGGAATATATATATATATATATAAAGGGAGAATGTATCATTTTTTGCCACGACACTCGCCAGGGTTAACTACTTTAATATTCATGTCGATTACATTCCAGCAATCATTATTCTCTTTATTATTATTCCAAATTCCATTTTTATTCATATTCCTTATTTTTTTACTAGCATACTGTATATATATATATATATGTCGTAATCAGTGGAAATAGATATACTTTTTGCATTTGGAACCAATTTTTTTTGTTTTAAAACCATATATTATGTATAAATATATGAAAACTATATTGCGAATATGCAGGAATTGAGAGTATTTTCGTATAATGGGCTACAGTATAATGGATAATTAACAAATTAGGAAAAAAATCTGGTATTCTATAACTATATATAATAGCTAGTCAATGAAATTACATAATGGACTTGTAATAATTTGGATAATTATATTTATATTTAGATATGATAACTAGAAGAATACATATCTTCTTCTTCTTTATTTTTTTCCCTACCTGGAGGAAATTTATTTAAAGGGGTTTCCAAGGATGTAGGATTCATATAAATTTTTTTAGGGGGATTCTTTCCCCTTTAATTAAATAAATAATTTCCATCCCCCCCCCCCCCCCCCAAAAGAGGGTGAAAAGTAGTGCAAGAATATATATAATTATTTGTAAAGAGAGATAATAGATACAGGTACGTATACGTGTCTGATCAACACAAATTCTTTTCTTCCAAGACTCAAACTCCTTCCTTGTTAATCCCCTCTTTAATTTGATTTGCCATTCTTAATCTTCTTCCTCATTGGTCTATTTTTTGAAATCTTTTAGCCTACTATTCCTACCCATTTTTTGTTGGTTAATCATTTATCAATATTGTTTTACATACTTTCACTTTTTAACTTGGACTTTGAAACCCTAAATTAGTCAAGTCATTGAGTTCACAAATTATTTAAACTTTTTTTTTTCTTGATCAATTCGAAATTGTATCTGAATTAAATGGTTTGGTAAATGCTACATTCGACAAAATTTACGTGCGCGGTTTCAATATTCTAATTACACATGCTTGTAAAGTCGAACTAAATCAAAATGGTGGCTAGATAAAGATAAATTTTAGGTATCTAAATAAAAATGCTTCTTAAAATTATATTATGAATAAATTATGTATATATATATATATATATATATATATATAGTGAAATAAAATTGAAAGGTAAAACATTATATAAAAAAAAAAGATGAATTATTATAGTATTTCCATAGGCAGTAATAATGATTGAGTAGGCCTACAAAAATGTTGTTCCAATATCGATCATCAGTTACCATCTTAAACAGTGTTAACCATTAATAAAGACAATATCAAATAATTAATCTAATTTCATCAAGCAGACTTCATTTTGTCACTTTCTCCAAATTAAACCCTTCTTTCTGCATTTGACGGTTTAAAATAAATTTCAACGTTTTCTTGCAGAAAATTAAATAATATTTGCCAATAATTTATATATATATCATCATCATCATCATCATAACACTAATTTTCTTCCGGATCGGTTGGTTTCAAAGGATTTGATAAATCTTAATTACTGTGTCTTATTAATTATACGATGATGACCTCTTTATTATTTGTTTATATACAAAATAATAATAAAAATAAAAGAAAAAAATCTCTGTTCTAGTTTAGTTTGCCCATACAAGAGCATGCAAAACAATGCACGTAATTATCCATTAACAGAAATTTGGTTGAATAAAGTAATGAAAAATAGTCCGTAATTGATGCAATATAATTAGGAGGAGTGGGTATATCCCTATTTAAAAGAAAATAAATAATTATAGAGATTTGGAAATTGGGAATGTATTTATTCTGAAATGAAGCGTGTTTGACTCAAATATGGACTCGTTTGTTAAAGTATAAATATAAATAAATTAGCTTAGCTAGATATTATTGACTCCAAATTAAAAGCATGCGTATTTTCCTTTCCATAATATATAATTAAGTATATATTGTGATTATGTAGTATATACGTTAGGTATACAGAATTTGTTAGTGGCTGAGTGAGTGGTATGGTATTAGTGTATATCTCATCTTAATCAACTAATTTCTAATATATCTTTTTTTAACCATATATATATATATACATCAACCTTTATATACGACTACTCGTTTAAATTCTTAAAGTGACCATTTACCAAACTAATTAGCAAAATTATGAATTATTATTATCTTCTAAATTGAAATTGGTGTTGTCAAATAAATTAAGACGTTAAGCCTCACTTAAGTAGCTGATATATCTAGATCAAAAGACCAAATTCAACTTCTATTATTATTATTATTAGGCAAATATTGACGAACTTGCCGGTTATTATAGCATATATATAATTCTTTCTTGTCGGACTTCTTGAATGTAAACGCGCAATAAGTAAATAAATAAATAAAAACGAAAGTAAGTTACGTTGTTTAATCTGTGAGGGTGAACGACAAGAAAGTCACATAATTGGCTCATATTTTTTTAGTTTAAGAATATAGAACTTGTCACGTGGGGTTTAGTTTATGTATATGTGAACTAGTTTGCAAATATTTTTTTATAAAAGAATAAATATCACCTTTAATTAATTAATTGTTGTTTTTTGGTGCATGCCGGTGCATGCAGCTAAGTATGAAAAAATAGGCCTCAAAAGCAAAGCTAATTAAGGGGAAAAAGAAGCCGCACATCTTAATTGGTTCTTACTGAGCTGCCTTTAATTTTATATATATGTATATATATATATACTATTAAGTATAATTTAATCTGTTGCGTTAGTATAATAAGTATTTAAGTTTTTAGTGAGTTATATTAAAGTTTTTCAAGTTAGCAAGCAAAAAATCTCTACAGTGAATAACAAAATCAGCCTGATAATTATGTATCATACGTTTTAATAATTAATGATGCTCAAATCTTCACTTTATTTTGTACACTAAATATATCTGTATTTGTTTGATTGATTGATTTGCAATACTAATAGTCAAATTTGGAATTTATTTAGAAAGGGAGGGGACCAGTAATCCAATATATATACATGCATTTGATAATTTAAATTTTTATGTGCACATTTATTTTTTCTCCTCGACGGTCAATATAATTTTCGTCGTCAAAATTAAAGTGATGCATTCAGCATTATTATTAATAAAAATGACTGTCACTTTGGATAGTTACATATAGCAGCCAATATTCCAAGGGGGTTGATTATTGATTAATTAGGATATGTGTTTGTTTTTGTGGCTGGGTATCAACCACGGACGGCGTGCGTGCCTATCTATATCAATATATCAAAATTACTATTATTCATATATATGATGATGATTAAGCTTCGTAGTCACTATTAAGTAAGAAAAATAAAAACATTTTTAACCCTGATTTGATTAAAGTAATCAAAGTTAGATACCAACTCCCCCTACTATTAATTTGTGATGAACGAACGAACGAAGCATCAAATGCCGATTTTCTTGGAGAGGAATTTGTATCAAATAATGTCATTAAAAAATAATCTTTTCGATCATTAATAATTTTTATTTATTAGCAAACACATGCTAAATTCTCTAGAATTGAAGATGAAGCTATCTTAGAACACGGAGTTGATGATGAGATCCGACCAACCAATTAGGTCAATCTTCACGGACGTTCAATTTTCACGAATTAGGTACACTAACAATTTTTGTTTCCGACTTGTATCATCAAGATTATATTTCATTCAATTTATTTAAGTTGCTATAAATAATTAATGTAGTTACAACCTTAATTCGTGGTAGGATCAACGGTGCAAAAATAAGATTAAACTAAAGTTAGAGCATGTTAAGTATGAAATCGACAACCCCAAAACAACTTTCCTTACAAGTGAGACACTTTGTTGGCAAAAGCCTCAACAAAAAACCAATACTTTTTATTAAATAAAAACAACTGTATGGTAAAACTCGAGAACCACAATTATTTTTATTTGGGCTTATTATATTTGATCATTTTCATTTCAAAATCCAAATCATTGATTTTATGGCCCATTTAAAAAAAAATCAAGAGGCCCCTAATAATAAATTAATGGGCTCAACTGTCATTATCCAAAGTTGGACTTTTCCAATAGTCAGTCAATAACTTTTGTTCATCGTCCAACCACATAATAATACATTTTATTAATTGAGAAAATGGAATTTGGATCTCTAACAACTTCATATTCAAGTATACACAAAATCAACTGTCTTAATTGTATTTTATATTATATTATATTTTTATTATTAATCAAAAAATAATTAATTCCCACTGTTGAAAGTTGAAACACCCTCCTCGTTTCTCTTCTAATTCCTTTCATCCTCCATTGGAAGACACCCTCACTAAATTTATTCACCTACTTTTTATTTAGGGTTTCGAATTTAGAGAAATCGAATATGTTCTTCACCGGTGATCCATCCACGCGTAAACGGGTGGATTTAGGTGGCCGGAGCTCCAAAGAGAGGGACCGGCAGAAGCTTTTAGAGCAGACCCGATTGGAGAGAAACCGACGCCTCTGGGTGCGTCAGCAGAATTCTGCTGCTCTCAAAATTCAGGTTTTTCCACGCTTCATTCTTCGCTTTTCAACATGATTACTTGTGATTTCATGATTGGTTAATTCACTTATTAGCGTCAGTTATTATTTTTGGCGAATTTTGTGCAAATGTCTTATGTTTTTCTTTTGCAATATTAATTGCATAAAAGTACAAGTTCATTTTTGAATATATGGGCTGAATCAAATAATGGAAAAAAAAGGAGCAAAGTAGTGGAGTAAAGTTGTAGCTTCGCGATGCGATATAAGTCATTGTTGGCTTTGAATTAGAGTGGAACTGGAGCAGTTTATAGGGAATGGGATCTTCAAAACTTGGAATTGGAAATACTGTAGTTTGACGTTCAACATGTTTTTGGTGCATTTTTTATGTGGCAAAAGAAAAAAGGACTATGGCGATGATATTATAATCAAGAAGAGAATTGGGATACAGTTTTCCCCCCTAAAGTTTCCTCTATTTAGATAGTTCTCTTTTCATTTTTAGCTTCATGCAGTTGAGGGTTCTTACTTTGAGTTCTCCGTGATGGAATTTTGAGAGGAAAAACCTTAGGATTAAGAAAGGGGCTGATAGCTTTATTTTATGTTAGCTGTCGGACAATTTGATTAGTTATCTGGTAGATGCTTTATACTACGATTGAACTGAAACTAGTTATTTACTAAAAAATTCCCCGTCAACCTGAATAACATCAAACAATATATTTTCTAGCTTACATACCATCCTTCCATATAATTACAGAACTGGGATATGCAAAATGTATTCCAGTTTCTCTATATGATGTTCCACTACAAGAAATACCTGTAGTACAAAAATGAGCAACAAAATGAGGAGTACCTGTCTACTGTTAATGTCTCTGTAGTTCTATTCTCCTTCCCTCTTAGTACCAATTTGATGAACTTCATGGTTTCAGGGTCGGACTTTTAATGGTGAGTCCTTATCTGTGGATAGCGGACTCCTATCTAAATCTTAGAGTTCATTTCTCAGACTAAATTGAATCATTTTCATTAGTCTTTGTATTGATCTTACTACATGCCTCTTGTGTTCCCATGGAGTTCAAGATTAGTGGTATATAGTAGTGTATACTTGGAAATATATCCATCTACTCCAAAATGTGTTTGTGAGATATGCTGAAAGACCAATTTTGTGAACTATAGAACTTGACTAATTGCTAAAATCACAGAAATGCTTCAGAGGAAGAAGGGTGTTGGAAGCTGAACGCTGCAAAGTCCGTGAAAAGTTTTTCTTGACCTATGGGCAGTATTGTCAAGATGTCAATAGGTGCACGACTGGGTCTAAATTCTGAGTTACTTGAAGTTTTACTTTATTTAAAGTTCCATATGTAGTTGTACCTGTCTTTGGATTACTCTGCTTTCTGTTCAGTGTTGTCTAATCATGTAATATCTCTTGCTCTGTCTGATGTGGTCCATCCTTGGTCTCATAATGGCGTATTATCATGCTCACATTCAGGGAATGCTTTGGCCCAGATTCAGATTTTCTCTACCAGCTTCTTTTCTTCTTTAACCCGAGATACGTGGCTGATTTTTCTGCTCTGGTGGAGACATGCCGATTACTTCTTGAATTTGTTCACGATAGTGGTGCGTTCTCTTGGTTAACTTAACATGCTTTCTGTGTGTTTTGCATTAGGGCATACACGATTAGTATGAACATGATCGGGATTTTACCCCTGTGGTTATCTGTATCTGCGAAAAACATTCATCTTACCTAGGTCCTTTTCCTGTTTTACATGATTACCTCTTTGCCTGTTACCAAGTCTGAGACATGTAATCACAGCATTATTAATGAAAGTTTTAATTTGGTTTACTCACTGAACATGACTATCAGATACTGCCATATACATGGATGGGTGAATAATGTCTAAGATAAATGTTTTGTTCACTTTGCTAACAATTGGTAGTTAGTGGACATCTTAGTTTAAGATGTATTAGAACATTAATGTTATACGTTCTATAACTGAGATGGATTCTTTTGAGTTAGCTGCATTGCTCTTGTTTATTTTATTAAGTGATCGCAATGCTTCTTGATCCAGAGGAATAATATGGAGTTGTTCTTGAAGATATTACAAAAATATTATATTTTATCAATTTAATCTTTCTAACGATCTGGTCAGAAGATGGCATCAAAATTTTCCTCGAAAGTTGTCTGTCGTAGTACCCTTTACAGAAGCACTTAACATTTACCTGAGGCAGCTGTCTAATACTACCAATGAATTTATTACATCCCTTTGTAGTCGTTTAAGGTAAGGGTGATGAGATGAGTTTATAGTTGCTAAATGCCGGTTGCATTCATCCCATATAGTGCTTCTCTGTTGGGTGAATGCTTTTATGCCGTCAATTTTGCCTTACATGAAATACTTCCAGCTAGCCAAAATGAGTTTTTTTTTTTTTTTTTTATAAATACTCTTTACATAAACTAGCATTCTTGATAACCCCATCTTCCTGTTAATTATTGAACTGTAGGCTTTAAGACTGCTAGTGATGTCTGATGTCCTCTTTCCCTTTCCCTCGAGGCAGTATCCCTTTTTAGTTTGTCTCTATATACCTTATGTGATAAATATATTTGAAGTCACCCAAAAAACCATGGTTGGAGCAACTCATTTCTCCCTTTGATGACTTTTTAGTAATTTAGCATTTACATGTGTGCTAGTTTTGGATGCATACGTAGTTGTTCTGTCATTCAGTTGAGTATCATGCATTTCTGCCTCTTCTGCTTTTATTTTAAGATTGTTCCTTCAAGTTTTCAGTTAATAGCTTTATCTTGTTATTTATATTATATATGCTTGCAGCAGGGGATCTAATTAGCCTCTTTGGAGGCATGGGTTACTCATCTAAGCGTGGTCTGGTGGAGTACAGGATTAAGAGTCTCGCTTATGCTTGCGTTCGTGCAATCTACGAAAATAGGTCTTTTCTACCGGGCCTTTTAATTATTTGTACCACACTTCACATCATCAATGCTAGTTGTAATATCTAAGAGTTCCCCAGTAATTAATTGTACCACACTTCAGATTTCTAACAAAGGTGTACATTTCTATCTTCCAGTTATGTTATTTTTAGTCAGAATACGGACCACGTTGATGAAAATCATATTTGCATTTTTGTATGACCATGAAAAGATAGTGCTATCTCCTGTTAAATTTCAAGCTTGTCTTTCTATAGAAACCAATCTTATGCTTTTGGTTTTCACAGGAACCAATTGAAAGATCAGTTATTTTTTGCCCCTGAGAAGTCCAACACATCAGCAAATGTGTTACTAGAGGCAATAATTTTGTTGATTGATTTAAGACATCCCTGGGCTTGTAGCACAGTCTGCTTTTTGTCCAAAAGGAATATGTACTCTATGTTCAGAGAAATAATCCTGTTGGGGAAGGTATTCTCCCATTTAGATATGACATATTGTCTTCCATTCAGATAGATGCAATGCAGAAACTGGTTTATGTGGTGTAGTGTATCTATGTTGCCCATCATTGCTTCAAGTAATTCAACATAAGTAATATATTTGTTTTTACTGATAGTGGTGGTGCCTATATTATATATCCAATTAATTCATTCTATTTTTTTAAGGTGAAATCTGAGGTGTTGCACGGAGGAATTGCATTATTACCAGTTCATGTTGCATTTAGTGACTTGAATACTAGCGTATAGGACTTCAGAAGAAAAACTTGCTTGTTTAATAAACTGACTTTCCATGAATTTTTACACTGTCAGTTAATAAATACTTAATTTTATGGTGTCATCTCATGAGTAAAACACTATTTTACTTTGCTGTAGAAAGTGGGTTTCCAATTATTTTCGTAGTCTTAGGTTGTGTTTTTGCTCCTGCTCAATTTGTGGGAACCATGCAGTGCAAATAGAGATTAACTGATGAAGTCCCAATGGTATTACGAGCTTATGTGCTAGGGTATCTACAGTTTAATGGGTATCTGTGGTTGGTGTATTATCCTGTCTGTGTTGAATAGTAGTGTATCGATAGTACAATACTTGTAGGTTTAACTTTCGCTGTGTGTACAGACATGATGTTGTGATTTTTTTATGTGATATTAGCTTTATCTTCTATTATATTGCCTACATTTCTTGATTTTTTTTTTTGCATTAAGAACAAATTGACATCCTTTAATTTGTATAGAAAAATATTCAAGGTTCTACTGGGAGTATCTCTTCATTGGAGCGCGTTCTTGCCCTAATTATTTCTCATGTGGATCAAGCATCCTGTACTTGTTCAGATAGTGATCCTCGATGGGGCTTCTCATCCCAGATTCTTACAACTCCTTTCCTCTGGCGGCTGTTTCCACACCTTAAAGAGGTATTTTTTTTCACTGACGGTCTCTATAATAATTAATGGTTAATTCTTGACTTCTTATTCATATAAGAATGAATTCAGGTGATTATGTTTAACGGTTATGTGCTATGCCAGAATTTCTGAACCTAACCCTATGCAATGTATGCTGCATAGTTGGTATATGTTGCGTAAGATTGTGAATCCAACATTATATATGTCATCAATTTTACTTCCATGTCCAGATTTTTTCTGCACCGCGGTTGAGTCAACATTATGCTCATCAGATGGCGTTATGTGTGAGAGATCATACCAATGTTCTTCCACCTGATATATCAAGTGACTTTCCCAGTTATGCCTGTCTTCTAGGAAATCTATTGGAAACTGCTGGAGCTGCCTTCGTTCAGCCTGGTTCATTTGCTTGGGTAAATGACTTTGTATCTAATATATTCACGATCTTCGATTTCCATACATTCTATAATTGACACTTCATAGTATTTATTGTAAGTTGTTTGGTCGGATTGATTCTAGGTATTCTTTTACCTGCTCATGGAACCAAGTTTATGAATAAAACATTCCCGTCTGTTTTGGCTTTCTTTTTTATCATTTCCCTATAATAATTTCTAATGATCACTCGAAAAGAAGGTATTGGGCATAATTTGGTTGTAGAAATGTCTTTAAAAGCCTCATCAAAAGGATATGATGTAGTTGATAGAATCCTTAATAAGCCAAAACGGATACCTGTTACATGATCTTATGAACTCTATGTCATTCCTCCAACAGTCCCTTGTAAATGCGCCCAGTCAATTTCCATAGATTGTTCTTGTGTTTTTAATCTGCTACGGGTTGTATCTTATCACGTTTTTGTAGCTGATGATGATTGCTTCGTTTTCTCTTCTTCATTTCACTGTATTTTGCCTTCTTAAATTTCAAATAAACTTATTCATATCCTTATAATTAGGGGTACTTATGTATATTTTACAGGCAATAGATTTTACAACCGTTGCGACATCGCTATTGCAAGCACTTCCTCCTCTCCAAACATCAAATCAAAGAGGTAAAGGTGTGCCCTATTTATATTGACGAGTTCACTGTTGTTTTTAATATTTCAAAATTATCTTCATCATTGGACTGCTGAGTTAGTTTAGATTTGTACATGTATAAGTGAGCTGTTCCAGTCAATCTTTTTTCTTGATGCAAACTGAACAGATTCTACGATGGGTGAAGATGATATGCTCGTCGGTGATGACCTAATCGAAATAGTTCTAAATAAGGATTTGGATCAACAGATTTTCAGCGCTCTAGATCCACACTTTCTTCTGCAATTGGTATACATCCTTATCATGCTGTATCTGTGTCTTGTCATGGCAAATATGGTAGTAGTTTTTCCCTGTATTCTAAGAGAATGTGCTATTATATTTTGTTTTGGTAGACAAACATGTTGTTTGGGGGGATTTCTCCTACAAGTGGTTCACATAAAGGCAGGCTTGATGATAAAGAGGTGGCTGCTGTTGGTGCAGCTTGTTCTTTTCTACATGTGACTTTCAACGTTTTACCCCTTGAGCAAATTATGACTGTGCTAGCATATAGGACAGAACTGGTTCCCATTCTATGGAACTTTATCAAGAGATGCCATGAGAATGAAATGTGGTCTTCCTTATCTGAGCAATCTGCTTATCTGCCTATTGGTACACCTGGTTGGCTATTACCTTTGTCAGTCTTTTGCCCTGTTTACAAGTAAGAGATATGATGTATATATTTGTGCATATTGTATCATTCTGACCTTATATATAATTTCAATGAGTTGATTGCTTTAATAATCTGTTTTTTTCTCGATCAGGCACATGCTAATGATTGTTGATAATGAGGAGTTTTATGATCAGGAGAAGCCACTTTCACTGACGGAAATAAGATTGTTAATTGTCATCTTAAGACAGGTAAGTCCTCTACCATATGATTCATTTGATATTTGCAGAATTAATTGAGCTTCAACAAATGTTTTAGCATGGCACCATAAAGTCGAATTTGTAATTTGGTCAGCTTCCGAATATATGGCAACAGTTCCCAGGAAATACCTTCTTTACTATGGGTTTCGACACACTGTAGGGTAAAAGATGCATACAGAGTTAAGAAATGATCCAAACATTTTCTCAAGTGCAGCAGCACATCCAAGTTTTACATGCTGTGAGCATTACAAGGGATGAGTCCTTGCTCAAAAGTCCCTCGTTGAGTGAAGGCTCTAGGATATGTAAAAGCATTGAATTAGAATGTCATATCTGAGTGTGGAAGATATAACCTTCCTTATTTTAGTTTGGATGTTTTATTTCTAATATATGCAAATGAAGGTTCGACAGAATAATAGATTCCAATTAGGCAGTAACCCAAGGAAAATCAAGCACCTATACTTCAGGTGCTTGATTTAGTTCTGGTGCTTGAGTATTATTCTTTTCTCAAGAGTAGTGACACATGGATTGCTCCTTGTTTAGGTCTTGTGGCAGATTCTTTGGCTTAATCCCATAGCAACACCTGATTTCTCAAAGTCCGCAAATGGTTCTTCTGCTATGAAGAGGCACCCTCTAGAATTTCTTCAGCACAGAGTTTGCATGGTTGCTTCGGAGCTCATGTCACAGGTACATGATCACATGCTACAAGATTTAAAAGCTTAAAAATATCCTAGAGTCTTGGTTTGAGTATTTTCATTCCATTTCTCAGCCTTAACAATCTCAAGCTGAAAATATTATGTTCCATTTTAATCACTCTAACATGGAAAATTTGTAGTTGCAAGACTGGAATAACAGACGAGAATTTACCTCCCCTAGTGACTTCAATGCTGATGGTGCCAATGAGATATTTATGTCTCAGGTAATAATTCTGATGGAATGTTGGATCTCCTGAAAAACAATATTCAATGACTAGCCTTTTATGATGTGCAAATTTTTCCAGGCGATGACAGAGAATTCAAGAGCAAGTGACATACTAAAACAAGCTCCTTTCTTGGTCCCATTTACAAGCAGAGCTAAAATATTTAATGTGAGTGGTACACTATATTTTCTTCCTAGATTTCATGTTACTTAATCCTCGTTTGTTGGTGCATAGTATATGAACTATGTGCATCTGGATTTTCCAATTACTTTTGATGGCTTTAATCCATTGGCGGTTGCTGAAATTGAACTTTGCAGTCACAGCTAGCAACTAAGAAAGAAACAAACGGTGCTCATGTTATTTTTACAAGACATAGATTCAAAATAAGAAGAGATCATATCTTGGAGGATGCATTTAGCCAATTAAATGCATTAGCAGAAGAGGATCTTCGAGGAATGGTGAGCCCCTCTCTCTGTTTCTGTGTTGATTTTCGGCATTGCTCTGAATATATGTTCAACTTCTAATGTCTCTTTTGTTTATTTATAGAATTTTTTTTTTGCATCCTTTCTAGCTAATATTGCTATGTGTCGTTTGATGCATCCAGATTCGAATAACTTTTGTGAATGAATTTGGAGTTGAGGAGGCTGGTATTGACGGTGGAGGGATCTTCAAAGATTTCATGGAAAACATTACACGGGCTGCATTTGATATCCAGTATGGACTATTTAAGGTTGTGATAATTCATAATAATCAAGAAAATGTTTATTTCACATAGTGCCTCTTCGTTTAAATGTTACATGCGTATTAGTGCGTCAATTGATTTTTGTGTAGTCATATTTGTTTTTCATATTTGTTTGGTTTTACATTTCCAGGAAACTTCGGATCACCTGCTCTATCCCAATCCTGGATCTGGACTGGTACATGAACAACATCTTCAGTTCTTTCACTTTCTTGGGACTCTTCTTGCTAAGGTATTAGTCCCTTGGTTTATTTGTGTCTACATTCTTGTTTTTCATTTAGTTTGTCATGCATTCAGGCATTAATCGGGTTTTGGACCATGAAGGTTGTGAATTTGCATTCTTCGTAACTGAATTTACCTTAATTAATAAATATGCCCACTCAGTCTTCTGTTGAAGAACATCTAGTATATGAATTTTATTTATCTGACTTAGATTTTAACAGAAATGCTTATTTTCTTAATTTTTTTTTAAAAGAAAAGTTAATTTATTTATTTAAATGATGGAAATTGTAATTATTTATCTTCATATCGGGTTATGTATTGGAGAATCATTTTTCGAATTACATATTGATATTGCTAATCAACTTTCCAAACAATGGCAACTTCCTTCTAGTTTATGTCTCGGTGTGCTCTTCATGCCGGTGTAGTGTTGTAACACGAAATTTATTTATGCAGGCAATGTTTGAGGGAATTTTGGTTGATATACCATTTGCAACTTTCTTCTTGAGCAAATTGAAACAAAAGTAAGTGTGTTTCTCTGCTGGACATGCTATAATTTTCTGCTTGCTTTGGTTATATATTTAAGAGATTTGCTTCAAGTTTTTATTAAATTAATCATTATCCGGAGCATTTCTTCTTTTGGTGTTGCATTTCTGTTATATAGCTGGAGCTGTAGGTTTCTCCAGTTCTTTTACTATCAGATTTTTTTTTTCTTTTCGCACAAGATGAGCGTATTTGGCTGGATTATTTGCAATCTATTAACCTTAAATCAAGGGTAGTTGTTTTATCTTAAAAAATATTTGCATATTAGTAAGTCTTCAAAACAACTCCGTGCATCAGAACTTTGACTAGTATTTCGCTGTAGTCGATTGATAACAAGTTTTATCATTTAAGGTTGTGCTCTATTTGTTAATTCTGCCAAACTTTTGGATTCGTTATGATTCTGCTTTTGTTATATTGCACTTCATTGACTTGTAGTTTGTGTTTTTACTTTTTAGGTATAACTACTTGAATGACTTACCCTCCTTGGATCCTGAATTGTATCGCCATCTAATTTTTCTAAAGGTGAACTTTCTTGATCTCCTTTATGTTTACCCTCATGTTTGTCTCCTGGTTAGAAATCTGCTTCTTTGTTTTCCTTCAATATGAAGGAAAAGGAACTCACCTTCATTTTACATATTGCAGTCACAGAGATCCTCTTTTCATGTTATCTTCGCACCTGTATCCATAACCCGACAATTTTGAAAATGTTTTAAGTCCTTCAAAATGAATTATGAACTTTCTCTCACTCGCACATACACACACACACAGACTGAAAAGCAGAATGATTTCTAACACTCTGCAATACTGTTGCGACAGCTGACAAGTATTTGAAATCATGAAGCAATGTCACTTTCCTTAAGTTTAAGATTATGGCAGAGGATAGAGGAGGTTAGATCTTTGTCTTTCACGGGCTTAGTGGTGCTACTTGAAGTAGATTTTTTTGTTTGAAAGCCTGGAAGTATGATGTGGAACAGTTAACCATTTGAACATGGATCTGGAACTGTGGTGGCATGATGGCAAATATATTGGCTAGACATATATTGAAATAGGTGGCATAAAGTATGATTTAAGAACTCCACTTCAGATTCTCCTGAATAAGTAAACTATGAATTGTCAGGTTACTTGACTTCAGTTTGTTTAAATGAAATATGTAGAACAAGTAGCTCCAAACATTTTTTTTTACTTTTTAAGAGGGAAAAAAATTGTTTGGAGCTACCTGCAATTTAGGTGCAAGGAGGTGAGGGCCAAACTTCAAATGATCTTTTGCTAACAAATAATGGAAGTCGGAATTTGCGTTGTTATAATATTCTTTCAAATGTCTCTAGAATTGGATTTTTGTTAAAACTTTTATATGTCTCTTGTTTTACGACCGAGTTTAATATACACCCAATATTTTTTTGTTTTTATTTTTGGGTTTTCTCTGTGACAATATGCAGCATTATGGTGGCCAAGTTTCCGAGTTAGAATTGTACTTTGTAATCATCAACAACGAATATGGGGAGGCAAAAGAAGAAGAGCTGCGTCCTGGAGGAAAAAACATCCAAGTCACAAATGAGAATGTCATTACATTTATCCATCTCGTAGCCAACCATCGATTGAACATTCAGGTAGTAAAACCTTCTCACCAAATCTAATTTTTCAAATCCAACCTCTATTAGAAGCTATACTTTGGGTAACAAGAGAGAGAGCTGACTCCACGTAAGATAGCTAATCCAATTCCCTAAGCAGATCAAGCTTGTCACTTATATCATAGCTAGTCCTCAATTGGCAGTGGGTAAGATGTCAGATAGTGTACTACTCAGTATGGAAGGACTTCCCCACTTCCTCAAGACACATATAGGGGAAAGAACTGCCACAACAATCCGAAGCAAAATAAGCCTCCTGAATACGTAGTTCAAGTTCTTGTAATATCTTGATTTATTTATTGCTTACATTCTCTTGCAGATACGTCCGCAAAGTTCTCATTTTCTGAAAGGGTTTCAACAGCTGATTCCGAGAGATTGGATTGACATGTTTAATGAGCACGAACTTCAGGTACGTACTGTTATATTATCCTAAAAATATGAATAATTGTACCCTTGGAGTAAGTTCTTCTGCTCTCTAAAAGGATGGATAAATTTATTTCTTGGACATTAGCAGACCTTTCATATCTGAGTTAGTGGTGATGAAACTGGATTCTAAACATAAAAAAATAATGTGCTGGATATGCAACCAATTACTGAAAGGTCAAATGCATAATATCTTTCTTTTGAGAAATTGGAAAACCTGAGTGGCCACCACACTTGATAAGGGATCAGGATAGAGTTAGTTTAGCCAAACCTGAACGTTTTTGTTTTAGGAGAAACTAAAAGAAAAAGAAAAACTAATGTTATCAGTTCACTGGAATCACGGTGATAATGAAAGACATTCTAGTAATTGTTGCAATCTATGTGCTTGGTCTGTACTAACTGTAATTTGGCAGAGATTTATGATGGGATTCAAGTGAGGGTCCCCTTCTTTCATGGGTATATGCGCTATAGGGATGCTGAGAAACTCCAGATAAATGTCACTAGTCTATCTCATCTTGCGTAATCCGTTACCCATGATTCTGCTTCCCGTTGAACATGAATTGGTACTGCTATGCTGAATTTTGCCAGGAGCTAGTGCATGCCTGAAATAGTAAATTATCAAAATGTGTGAATTTTGCTCCGGACTAGTCCTTGAAATAAATATAGGATTCATTCTTCAAAATGATGTGTTTGAGGCTGACTAGGAAAATCTGGAGGGCGAGGTGAATCCTCTAAGGAGATTGGAAATACTTGAAGGAGAGAATGGCTAATTTTTTAACATTTATCTGGAAATACACATCTTGTTTAGGATATCAATGGGGTTGGATTGTGTAAGATTCGTTAGGCAAATATTTTGTCGCCTATCTCAGTTGGTTAGTTGAACTTTCCTCTTTCTCTATTTTATCTCTGAACACTTCAAGAAGTCAGATGGGACCAATAGAGCTGTCATTCCTCATTTTGATCAGCGTTTATTATCTGCTTTTCTGTGTTGATATAACAAGAATGGGAGAAGAATTACTTGTTTAGGTATATACTAAAGTATCTATTTAAACTGAATACCATCAAACGTAGTAAAGCATCCATGTTATAATGTAGGTAGTTTTGGGTATTCAGTATTTGCATTAAGACTGAATATTTTTTGGAATTATCTGATTGTTAAGAGCTTCGTTTGTCTTCTGCCTCAGCTTCTAATATCTGGATCGGTAGATGGATTTGAGCTCGAGGATCTTCGAGCTCATACTAATTATTCAGGCGGCTATCATGAGGTAAACTCTTACATGTACTGTGAACATTTCTAATGTAGCAATACAAGGTTTAGGGGCTTCACTTCTATTGAAGCTGTCTTTCTTCTCTGCCCTTACTATTTGATTACAATTTGTACCTGTTTGTTGGTTCTTTCCTCTATGATGTTGGGTCTGTGTGCTGGTTTTTCATACTTGTTCCTGGTGCCTTTTCGTTTACTTTTTTTTTTCTGTATATATGTCTAACTGGAAATTATCTTGGCAGGATCACTATGTTATTCAAATGTTCTGGGAAGTTATTCGGAGCCTTAGCTTGGCAAATCAGAGGAAATTTTTGAAGTATGCCTCGTCATCTCTTTTCTGTTTTCAAGTATATTTAATGTTATGGGATCCTGCTAAGTTGCGAGTGCCATACACAGCCGAATTGACTGATGGTTAACTTGTAATCATGATCTTAATTCTGGCTGTCTTTGAACTCTTAGCAGTTATTCACTCCATTTTATAATGTCAACGCATGTGCACCTTTGGTTTGTATTTCACTTGCTTGTTTTATGCCTTATGCTTTTTATCTGAATATTCTTAGTTGGCTTACACCTTTTGATGACAGCTATATACATTATGGGGGTATAGATTTGACCTGTTGTATACATTTTGTGGTTTTCTTAAACAGTATCTATATTTCTGCTCTCAGATTTGTAACTGGATGTTCTCGAGGGCCTTTGCTTGGATTCAAATACTTGGAACCTACTTTTTGCATACAGAGGTAATGCTGCAGCTGGTGCTGCTTATAGTGGCGATTAATCAATATTAATTTTGCAGTCTTTCGGCATTTGACAAATATTCCCTTCATCCAACAGGACTGCTGGTAATGCATCTGAAGAATTACTTGACCGGTTACCAACTTCTGCCACTTGCATGAATCTTCTTAAACTTCCTCCGTACAAAAGGTTCGTACAAGTTTAGCCACATATCTGCGAAGTTGTAAGTGCTATTCTGTGGGAAACTATTGTAGTATTTCCGCATGGGTTGTGTTTAGCTACTTTATTCATTACTAGTCCGAATTAGTATTTCTTGATGCCTTGTCATAAGCGGTTTCATTGCTCGTGTAATAACTGTGATCGGAAATGTGTTCATACAGCAAACAGCATATGGAGGACAAATTGTTGTATGCTATAAATTCAGATGCTGGGTTCGACTTAAGTTGATAGATGCCAAATTTGCGTCCAGCAAAAGATTGCTTTCATGTCTTGGCTGGAGCATTCACTGGCTTTGACCGATTATAGTTGGAAGGCCGATTTTTGTCCCCCTTCGTCTCAGTTTGTTTGGAGCAACTCACATGCGAGGTGGTGAGCTGGTAAAAATGAATCTTGAGAGAGCCCTATAGAGCACCTTTACTTCACGAGATCGGTTTGCAGTTGAGTCAGAAAGTAGCAGATAAAAAGAGCAGCATTAGAGACACCATGTAGATATTATCACCTGCTACTTTATGGAGTAGCTGTATGTATATATATGCTGCTGGGGAATCTCTATTTTGTATATGTCTTAGTGAAATACGGGCAGGACCTGCGTAAGTGGTCTTGTTTGTCAGACTTGTTTTGTTGTAATGTATACCTCTGTTAATGAAAGATAGATAGCCCATATTGTTACTTCATTCTGGGTAACAGACAGTGCTATAATTACAGGTTATTGTCTCCACCGAGTCCCAAAGACGTTAATTACTACAGTGAAATCAATATTTGCATACATTTCTCTCATTTTGAAGTGTGATCTACTTGTATTTTTCACATGAGTGTCAGATGTATTCAGTGTACTCTGATGTAAGTTTAATTGTTGAGTAACTGAGGATGCATTGATCACTTGAATAAATAAATAAATAGACATCAACAACCACTGCTAAATTCTTGACAACAATATAGAGAGATACAATAGGATGAATAACGTAGAAGTGAGGCCAAACACTACATACAGCTCAAAAGTTCAAAAATCGGTGCATTCATCAATCTTCAGCTGGGGGGATATCGCCTAAATCCAAACCTTCAACAGGCAAATCTGAAGTCAAAGGTCCTAGGATCCCTTCAGAGCTAAGGGTCAACCCACTCTGCACAGTGATAATAGATGTAGCGCCGTTTGTTAAACAAACATTAACGTAAAATAAGTGGGACTGAATGTAAATAGTCATTAACTGATAATAAAGAAAAGCAGATAATAATATTACCTCAGGTTGGAATCTTAACATATCAGCACGAGCCATGGCTTCTGCTTGAGCTATCCTTTGCCTGAATGTCTGAGCCATCTCTTCTGCCTGAAACTCACAACCAACAAATCATTCCATACACGTCACCAACATACTATCGTTCCACAGTTGTACTATTTGGGAATAATAATAATTAAAATATATAATTAATAACAATTTCACAAGACTTACCTTTTCAAAAACCAGCTTGGGATTGCGAATCATGTCACCAGGGGTAGGCTCTAACTTCTTAGTCGAGAGGCTGACTCGTCCTCTCTCACGGTCATGGCTTAGAATCATAACCTACACAATAAGTTCGATTTCAACAGATGAGTAACAAAATTCTTCAGAAAGTAAGTAGGGTTTTTTTTTTTTTCTTTTTTTTCGGCAGAAGTGGTTGCACCTTTAAAGTATCACCGGGCTGAAGAACTGTAGCAATATCGGAGACACGATCGTGGCTGATCTGGCTGACATGCAAAAGGCCGTTAATTCCACCAATGTCTATGAATGCACCATAAGGTTTCAAGCTCTGAACAGTTCCGATAACTACAGAACCAATTCCAAGCTGTGCTTGACTATCAGCCATGGCCTTACGGTTACTGAGGACTAGCCTCGACTGTTCCTCGTCAACTTCTACAAACTTTAGAGGAAGTTCTTTTTCCAGAAGTTCCTCTGCAGTTGATTTCTGATTTCAATTCACAAAACAACTCTCTTAGTTACTACATCTAATTAAACTGTAACATGAGCTAAACGCATGCGAGAACAAAGAACTAACAGTGGAGACTTGTGAAAATGGAACAAAACCACGAAGACCTTCCACCACTGCCACCACTCCACCTTTGTTAGCTCCAACTACCTGCTCGTTTATACAATTAAACTTCGCGTTAAACTTGCAAATTTGGATAGTGATAAAATGGGATAAAGTTAAGAGTTTAGTTCCGGTAAAAAAACCTACCTTACCCTTGACAACAACATCTTCAGCTTGAAGTTGTCTACACCTTTCCCAGGCAAGGTCGTACTGAATATTACGAAGGCTCAGGATTAAACTATCATCGGCCTCGTTCACTCCAATTATTACAAATTCTTCACGTAAACCAGGAACTATGCCTGCCTCTTCCACGTGTTTAAGGCCGTGGATTGATGCCTCTCTCAGAGGCAAGTATGCTGATGACTTTGCGGTTATGTCAACTAATGCACCGTTTGCATCTACGTTAAAAACTGTTCCTTTTACCTGAAACAAAAAAATTAAACAGACAATCAGACTCATACAACTCCCTTCACTGGTCTTTCTTTCTCTGTCATAGCCGAGAAAAAGCATAAAAAGAGAAATTCCGGCCCCACCAAGAAACTGTAAACGTTTGCAGATACTACTTCATGAGTAGCATAATCAAACAGCCAACCTTCATCATAAAATCTAACTCACCAACCTTTAGAGAGATCTAATGCATATTTGCTCATTATATTTTCAGCTATATCACAAGCCACAAAACGCATTATCCATCAAACCTAGATTATAAAAGCTATAGAATCCCTACTTGTATTTCACCCCCTTTTTTCATGATTTTTCCAAATTTGCCGGTGCCAATCCAACATATGAAATCCAATTCACCTCAATCATAAAAATAAAATAAAATGGCAAATCTAATTCATAGAGGCATCTGACCTTGGTACCAATTTCGGAATTGAAATCGTATTTCTCAAGGGCATCGTGGAAGTCATCAATGGTGAAGGCGACACCTTCCAAGGGGAGAGTGCGGCACCTCTCGTACGCGTCCTCAAACATCTCCTTCAGCTTCATTCTCTCTCTTGTTTGTGCATTTGCAATAACAACAGCTGCTGCTGATATTACACTTCTCTTTCTCGGCAGCACCGTGTAGCAATGGTTCTTTGAAGCAGTCGAGAATTTGTTGTTTTCCACAGTTGATAATGGCGGACACTTTAGCCCACCAAATTGCTGTGCTAAGGACGCCATTTTTTCTTTCTTTCTGGGTTGAGAAGATTTGGTTGAGAAGAATCAATCGGGTTAGATAAGGTGAGGGAGAGAGAGAGAGAGAGAGAGAAGAGAGAGAAGAGAGAGGGCCCCACTTGATAATTGGGGATTTGATGGGCTTTCTTATACATATTTATTGGGCCCATATCATTCTCTTAACGGGCATTACCTTAAGGCCCATTTACATACAAACGGTGTATTATGCCCCTTTTGTGGATTAAATAATGTAAGTTTTTCGGTAAAATTAGTGGAATGTGCAAAAAACTATTTCATGATCAAAGTCATTAAAAAATTGGTGGAACGTCCAAAATATTATTTCACGATCAAAATCACCAAAACTGTATACTATAGTACACAATTTTTTGGTTAAATTGGTGGAATGTCCAAAAAATTATTTCACGATCAAAATCACAAAAAACTGTATGCTATTGTACACATATTTTGGGTAAAATAGGTGAAACGTCCAAAACAATTTTTCACGATCAAAATCACAAAAAACCGTAGGCAATAGTACACAAATTTTAGGTAAATTGATGGAACGTCCAAAAAAAAAAATTTCACGATCAAAATCACAAAAAACTGTATGCTAATATATAGTACAGAGATTTTGGGTAAAATTCGTGGAACTTCCAAAAAATTATTTTACGATCAAAATCACAAAAAAACTTTATGCTATAGTACACATATTTTGGGAAAAAAATAGTGAAACGTCCAAAAAACTATTTCACGGCCAAATCACCAAAAAATGTATACTATTACTCATATTTTGCGCAAAATTCCATGACCGTTCCAAAAAAATTTTCACGGTCAAAGTTACAAAAAACTGTATGCTTTTAGTAAATAAAGTTTGGTTAAAATTGGTGGAATGTTCGAAAAACTATTTAACGATCAAAATTTCCGAAAATTGTATGCTATAGTACATATATTTTGGGTAAAATTGGTGGAACATGCAAAAATTTATTTCACGATCAAAATCACAAAAAACTGTATACTATATAGTAAACAAATTTTGGGTAAAATTGGTGGAACGTCCAAATAATTACTTCACGAGCAAAATCACCGAAAATTGTATGCTATAGTATAATTTTTTTTTTAAAATTAGTAGAACGTCAAAAAAAAAAAAAATTTTGTCACGATCAAAATAACAAAAGAATGTATGATATAGTACATATATTTTGGGGAAACTATGAGGAACATCCAAAAAACTTATTCACGATCAAAATCACCAAAAACTGTATGCTATGGTGCACAGACTGTGGACAAAATTGGTGGAACGTCCAAAAAATTATTCCACGATCAAAATTACTAAAAACTATATGCTATAGTACAAATATTTTAGGCAAAATTGGTGGAACGTCAAAAAACTTTTTGACGATCAAAATCACAAAAAATAGTATGCTATATAGTACACAAATTTTGGGTAAAATTGGTGGAACGTCAAAAAACTTATTTCACGATCAAGATCACCAAACAATATATGCTATAGTACACATATTTTGGGTAAAATTGGTGGATCGTCCAAAAACAGTTTTCACGATCTAAATCACCAAAAACATTAGGGTGTGGTACACAAATTTTGGGTAAAATTGGTGGAACGTCTAAAAAACTATTAGACGATCAAAATCACAAAAAACTGTATGTTATATAGTACACATATTTTGGGTAAAATTGGTGGAACGTCAAAAAAAAAATATTTCAGGAGCAATTTCACCAAAAAACTGTATATGTTATAGTACACGTATTTTGGGTAAAATAGGTGGAACGTGAAATTTTTTTTTTCACGATCAAATCACAAAAAACTGTATGTTATAGTACACAGATTGTGGATGCAATTGGTGGAACGTTCAAAAAATTATTTCACAATCAAAATCACAAAAAACTGTAAATTATAGTACACATATTTTGGGTCACGTTTGTGGAACGTCCAATATCGATCAAAATCAACAAAACTGTATACTATGGTACACATATTTTGGACAAAGTTGGTGGAATGTCCAAAAAACTATTTCACGATCAAAATCAACAAAACTTGTACGCTATAGTACACAAAGTGTTGGTATAAAAATAGGTGGAACGTGCAAAAAAAAATTTCACGATCAAAATCACCAAAACATGTATGCTATAGTACACAGATTTTAGATAAAATCGATGGAACGTCCAAAAAAGATTTTAACGATCAAAATGACCAAAAACTGTATACTACTACACATATTTTTGATAAAACTGGTGGAACGTCCAAAAAACTATTTCACAATCAAAATCACAAAAAAATGTATGCTATAAGTACATTGATTTTGGGTAGAATTGGTGGAATGTACAAAAAACTATTTCACGATCAAAATCACAAAAAATGTATACTATAGTCCACAGATTTAGTAAAAA